GGGGGGCCAGCGTGAGGGTGACTATCCCGAGATGGTGTTAGTTTTTTTTTCGGGGTATCTATCCGTCAGGCGTGGATAGCATGGGAGGCCGGGTGCCGCAGTTTAGTCGAACGCGTCGCGACGACAACGCGGCGAGGTTTCGCGATTGGAGGCGTTCGTTGGGGCCGTCGTCATGTTTGGTAGATAGTCCCATGGCGTTGTGCGTGGCGTGTATTGCCACATGTTTTCCGGGCCCGGGGACTTGACGAAGAAGAGACCCATCCCGTTTTCTGAGGTCCGGCCGGAGGCTGCGGCTGGTTTTTTATTTTCTCGTATCTCGATATTGTGAGTTCAGGTGGGCTGAGGATGGTATGCAGGGCTGTACAGTTAAGGGGCTGATCGGATCCCAAGATGTTGGGTTGGCTCGCGGTGACTGTGTAGTCTTGGGAAAGGAGAGGTTTCGTGCCCGGTAGGTCATGTCCAAGGTATCACTCAATCAGAAATACATTGGATAATGGTTGCCGTGATAGCCTTGATGGCTGTTGTCTTTGTGGTGCGTGACCACTTCTTGCTCTCGAAGGCTGGCAGAGCCTTGGTGAGATTCAATGTGTGACTCGGACGTTCCATACCTGGGATGCCTTTCGTGCCTCCTTGTGTACGTGCTGTGTGACTCGAATCATGTCCTGCGCCTACGTGTAGGACACGAACAAAGTGGCCGTGACGTCGTTCTTGTCTTAGGCGACCTAGTTAACGTGCCTGGGAATCCGGGGGCTTTCTCTTTGTGAATTTGATCGTAATATTGGGGCATGGTATCGAGAAGAGGGATATGAGTCGAGTGTGCTATAGAGTTGGCTCAGCTAATTTCTCGTTCTCAGCGAGGTATCCCTCTGTCTTCATACTTTGAGTCGTTTTAAGTCTGTTTTGCAGGCTGGTTACGTTCTGCACTGTTCATCGCTGGCTGTTTGGACTATCTCATTCGCCTTGTCGATAACGATGCGATGTTTTCGACGGATAAAGCACGTGTTCCATGCCAGCTCAGGCATACAGGAGGTCAGATAGCGACTTGGGATATCTGGACTTGTAGCTCGTTCCAGGGCAGCATGTAACTGTACCAAAAGCCCCAGTCGCAAACGCTGCCGCTTTGCGATGTACTATGAAGCAACTCGTGATTTCGTATGCCCTAGGGATGCCGGTCGAACTTCTCAAGTAGAGTAGTTTGAATCGCTTCTTGAAAACCGCGAAGAGGAACTGAGTCGTGTTGCGACATCATCTCGACCCCGAGGACCTCTGCGTCCTGTTCACTTGGTGTTCTGCCGGGATTAGCGACTTGATGTCAGTTTTCTCTCTCGCGTACAATGTTTCAAGGTTGGTGGACTGTGAAGTTTGTAGTCTTTCTGGAAGCAAGATGATGTATAACGGAATCAAGGGCTCTACGGTGTCCCTGGGGTGAAGCGTGGTCATTCACAAGGAGGCTCATGGTAATCTGCACAAAAGACAAGTCATGCGCAGAGTAATAGAAGGGGGGTTGAACATGGTAAGGATGGCTCGTGGGTGGCCGCGTGCCTATATCGACTACATGGAAGTAGAATTCTTGCGAGTTGTGGTTGGCATCGCCTCTGTCAAATCAATGCGCTTGAGATCTTCTTCGACGTTTTCTCGTATGACCTACAGTCACCATAGCACAAAACGTAAGTCTCAAACTACGCCGAGTTCAAGACTTGAACGTGACAAAAAAAACCTCCCATATAAGAAAGCACATATCCCCAGGCACGGGGGTTCTCAAGTATCCCCTCCTTGCCAAGTAATGAATCCGTATCTCGAACGCAGGTGACTCTAAACTCCCATTACATGTCCTTGAACATCAGGTAGGGGCAAAAATTGTTGACATCTCCACGAAGTCTGTACGCTCGTTGTGGACTTTTAAATATCAGGGGTTGAAGTCCATCGATAATTTCAGAGGAGTAGCCGCCAATGTGAGCTAGGTACGGAAAGGAGGTGCCAACCAATTATTCTAATAGACCAAATTCATGTTGATTGTTGATTCGCGATGATACTCCCGATCGAATTTGATGCATTGTCGAACATAAACAGTCCTTCTTGGGGCCCCTGTACTAACAGATCATTCTCTTCTGTATACTTCTCAGATACCCACAGGAGTTGTATGTTTCTGTGATTATCTTGTCATGGGATACTCTTCCCGTGGGGGGAAAGTGGAAGTTGAAGGGTGTGTTGGCCCCTATTTCCACGCTCAGGGGCTTGCTACTCGCTCTACGTCCATGGACTTTGGAAGGACTCGTCTGTCTTTCAACTCTCCGCTTCCGGCTTCGGATGGGCAAGCCAGCCATGTCGAGTGTAGCCATTGCTTATATTTGCCTCTCTATGCTCTGCAAGTCCTCTCAACCGCCGACAGCAATTTCATTCGGTCAAGAAAGATGCAAGAACACTGGGAGTTGAATACCACTAACTGCACTTGACGACAAGTCATGGTATTTTTCCATCTTCGGGGTTGAAAGCCTGGACGCGTCATCGCTCGCCTGCAGATTGATGGTGCGAGAAGAAGCAAATGGAGAGAAGAGGGTAGGTGCGGTCCGGTAAGGTGCTTCAATCAAGTGCCCGGGTTCGACTATTGCATATATGAATCCCCAGATGCTTCCATTTCCGTATCGCGTCTCCAAGCATGGCTTTGAAGTTGTTCATCATGACTAGATCCCAAGGATTAAATCGACCGACACATACCTAAGCCCGGTTCTAGTCGATCAATTGCATGGCCCTGACAGGTACATTAGTGTCAAGGGTGCTTTTCTGCACCTCGAGCTGCTCCCAGATACTTGTAGACATTTCGACAGTTTACAAGGGAGAACACTCCAAGGACGTGGATGAATAAGGAGAACTACTTCGCTATGAAGTACTTTTTTTAGTCCCTTTTCCTGTCGCGTTCCGCACATCCCATCTATAGGCCCTTGAGGACAACATAGTCCCGTACCTTGTCCTCGATACCACCGCGCTGACGCTTTCTATGGGACTTTCTTGTGGAGGTAGACTACAAAGGAAACCATAGAGCCTGTGGGATTAGCTTCGTCTTTTTATATGGCAATCTACCAAGTCCCTGGTGGCATCGATCTAGAGTCCATGGGTCCAGGCGAGCGCGAGCGAGATCAATGGTATTTATGGTGTAGGTTGTTGCTATCCGCTTTTTTCATATCAAGCGGCCAACACAATGTCTCTGGTAATTACCCTGTCCGAGTAGCCTTGAGTTTTCCTAACCAGAAGATATCCTCGTTCTCAATATCGACGCTCTAGCATTGATCAAGAGCCTACATCTTCATATACCGTCCTTCTCGCATTTATTATTGATTGAATACTACGGCGGCAGATGGCAGTCAACGGTAGGGTGATGTTCTTTCCCTCTTGAAGGTACCTTACGAACCTGTGCGAACATCCCGAGCAAGTCTGCAGTCTCGTACAAACAGAATCCTATTCAATGCGGTCTCGGCCCTGGTTGACACCGTGACCGTGGGGATCCGATCGGCGAGAGGCACCGTTGAGGCGGTCTTTTGTATTGCTGTCTCATATGACTTTAGAGCCATACTACTACTGTTGGACTCAGGTATATGACAATGAATTCATTTCATTGCCTGGACTGCTTTTCTGCTCATGCCAAGGATCGGCTCCGCCCAGGTACCTTCTTTCGACTTTCGCGACGTTCGAGTAGGCACGCATTTATCTTAGCCATGAGCCGGCGCGCGTATCAATGGCTTACTATCATGGAGCGGTGCCTCGGACCACCGGTGATATTCTTCGCGGGGGCGCGGGTTCCTCATCTCGGTGGTGATTGATCTGTCGAGATCACATGAGAAGCATCTTGTGAGGGTTGAATCTCTGCTTCCCTGTGAACTCTATCTACAGTCCTCACACCAACAAGCCATACGTTGGCAAGATAGTACTCCACTCTACAGATTACCTCACGGCAAGTGCATTTGGCCGGGAAAATTATCAAAGTGGTACGGTTGCAGTTCATCTCCGCTTGTGATGGGAAAGGTGACATCGTTCCAAGTCTTGACCGCGAGCGAACGCACAGCAAGAACTCAAACATTACACACCTCGAGTCTTTAGCTTGAGATTAACCAACGTGATGACTTTCTCGAATAAAGGTGCAAATGAAGTCAGCTTTCCGTTGGAAAAGGTAGAAGTGAGGTTGTCAGACGTCCGCCGTGGGCCGAAGGTGACCCGTACAGCCGCACCGACAGCCGGTCCGATTGGCGACGGGTAGGACCCCGTGCCATCGGCATCGGCGGGGTCGAGCGGCTCTTAGAGTTCTAGAGACGGCCTAGATCTTGGGATGGTCGGCGACCAACCAATAGACGGCAAACCCCTCCATCCCAAATTCCATTCCCAATGGATAAAATCAGATAAAGCTCTAGAGGGGCCCGAGCTACCTATGTCATGGGGTTCTTTTTTTCACCATGTATCCGTACACGTGAAGAAGACGGAAACTCGACTCGTCTCGTCTCATTTCATTACAGGAAAGGAGCTGCACTTGCCAGCCTCATCTTGTTCAAACTTTATTCCTACGCTACCTTTTCCTATACCACCTTGCCATCCATACTCTCAAGTCTCAACGGCCATCCTTTTAATCCTCCACTGGCAACGCTTCCCAGGTCGGTCCCCCAATTATTACCGCGTCCTCCGCCGCCGGCCGAGAAAGCGCGCTAGCGAACGGCGGCATTGCATGAGGAAAACGGCACTAACGCACCTCCATCAGCCGCCCTGCGCGATCGCCCACCCCAACCTTCTCCATATCTAAGCTCAACGGGGAGGAGAGCTTTCCCAAGAGCCGAATTCTGGCCAAGAAACTTTTTAGTGCCATTTCTCGTCTTTCAAACCCGTCTCTCCCCTCTTGATCACGTCACCAGACCCTTGTTCTGGCGTGAGGGACGCCATCTTCAAACCCCCGTTTTGCCTCTGTGTGCCTCTTGTCTGTTCGTCCGAGGGCACGTCCAAATGCCCATGTCTCGGACGTGATGGCTTCCGCCCGCGATGAAGCCGCATCGATGCCGGCAGCGGCAGCGGCTACTGCTTTTCTTCCTCTGCCACCACCACCACCACCATCACCACCACCGTCGTCCGATGCTCATCAACCGCAGTCCCAGTCCTCCGCGACCGCCTCGCCGCGAGGGTTAAGTAGGCGTTCCTCCTCCTACGACGGACGCTCTCCAGCGTCGCCGCGCTCGCTTTCCCGGAAGCAGAGCACCAACGAGCGCATCAACGAGATATTAGAGGTACGTTCTTAGCTTCTCTCGCTTCTGCATCCTACCCACTGTCAACCGAGGACCTGGAACTGCGGGTTCTCTTTGGTGTGTTTCCATTATGTGTTTGTCCACGAGCATGTACATTTCGCCCATCGCTTGGCACCGACGCTTCTGGCCGCCAATCTACGGCATTCTCTGAACCCTAGTTACTTCAACGTTGGCCTCGCTTCTCCGTTTCCTTTTCTGCCCCATCCCCATGTTCTGCTTCCTCCTTCCCAATTCCGGATCCTTCTCACCCGTCCACCATCGTACCTCCTCCTCCTCCTCCTCCTCCTCCTCCTCCTCCTCCTCCTCCTCCTCCTCCTCCTACTTACATCTCCCTCTCTCTCGCCCCAAAACAGACCGCACGAGGCCGCGCACAAGCCATGGGCGGCGGACTCTCAACAACCCGCTCCGCCCCCGCCAGTCCCCCGCGGCACTACTCCCGCGCGGACGGCTCCCACGATGAGAACGTCGGCATCATCTCCCGCGGCCCGGACCGCAACTACCAGAGCATGAACTCGGCACCGCCGCCGCTGCCGCCGCCGCCGCCGTCTGCCGTCACCACTACGGCGACGACCCCGGAGCTGGCTGGTATGCGGCCGCGCAAGTCGGTCCAGTCGACGAGGAATTCCCTGCCGGCGCAGGCCGAGGAGGAAGAGGAGGAAGACTACGACGCCGTGGTCGCGCGGGAGGAAAGGGAAAGAGAAGCGCAGAGGAAGGAACCCTGGTACACGATCCTGCTGTCCAGCTTTCAGAGCATTGAACTGGAGAACAAGGGCAGCGTGGCCCGCGATCATCTGGCCCTCGGTACGTATCCGCCTCATATCAAGTCTCTCTACTCCAAGCCCTCAGCCCATCCGGGTTTCAACCATCACGGTCAGCGCCTCTCAACAGCCACCAACGGCCAGAGCACAATCCTTTATGACCAACCTATTCTCCTCTATTCAACAGGCAAACGGGGGTTCAACCCCTCGGGCGCTTTAGCCCAGCGGTGAATATGGACCACTCAGCCGGGGACGGGGGATTTCCATATGTCTTACGAGACGGACCTCGCCCCCTTGAGTTCGACTCCACGCTAGGGAGCTATTTTTTTATATTACTTTTTTGCACTTCTTTGCACTCTTTCCACTCCCTCACTTACAGAGAATCATGACTGCGCATATATGTAACGCAGTTCCAGCTAACCTAGACCACTCATTCTCACACAAAACAGAACGCACATTCCTCGCATGGCTCCGCACATCCCTCGCCTTCGCCTCAATAGGCATCGCCGTAACCCAGCTCTTCCGCCTCAACTCGTCCCTCTCGACGCCGGGCACCGACGACCCAAACAGCCACACCCTCCGCCAGCTGGGGAAACCGCTCGGCGCGACGTTCCTAGGCATCAGCATCCTCATCTTGTTCCTGGGCTACCAGCGCTACTTCCGCGCCCAGCAGTGGGTTATGAAGGGCAAGTTCCCCGCGAGCCGCGGGACTATTATTATTGTTTCCATGGTGGCTTTTGCGCTCATGGCTGTGAGCTTGGTTGTTGTTGTGGTTGTGAGTCCTACGAGTAGGTAGGGAGCGGTGATGTTTTTTTTTCCTGTCTCTTAACATATGATGTTCTTTTTTTTTAAAAAAAAGAATATGACGCGGGGGAAATATATATCTATATCTGGCTGCATATATCATAAGAGCGTTCTGCATCAACGGGATACTGGGGCTTTGAGTTCGTTTGAAAGCTGCGTGTTTATGTTGTGTCTAGTTTCTCCCTGATCTAATGCAGCAATGAGCACGCAATAATACTTAATCGTCAACCGAAGACGCTGTATGTAGTACTTGTAGTCATATACATGACATGAGATATTCTCGTTTGCAACCCAACCAGCGTCATGTGATTCAATGTTGAGGAAAAGTGTTCCGATATGAAAGTCAGCGAGGGCAGTCCTTGGGCACGCTGACTCTGAGGGACAACCCCTCACCCAACTACGTACCCTTTCCAACATACGTACTAAATTCATAGGAAATTTCCTCCCAATCTCTGTACAATTCAAAGCTATGCCGGGCAATTGCATCAATGGCATGCTGCAAGATGCAGGTATCCGACCGTTCGACAACCTCATCTCATCTCGTACCTGAGAGCTGAGAGCTTCCCCTCCAAACTTCAACCTATCAGATGACGTCAAAAGCTGCAGTCTGCACCTCACTTGTGGAGACCCGCACAGAACCACTTACAACCTCCTCTCACAACGACACTCACACCTTTCATCTCAACGGCAGCTCCCTCACCTCAACTTTCCCCACAGTCCCGAATATCACCACTCATCAACCTACACCACCCGAGGTCTACAAACCTGACTGCACCAACAAGAAATCCCAATCCCAAGAGCACAGCAACCACCTCTAAAAGGGGACCACACGGAACAAAGACCAAGGCAAAGACCCCTCCCAAAAACAACCTCCCCCCCCCCCCAAAATGTCCCCCTCATCAGAACCCCTCTCCCCCCCCTCCTTCGCAACAACCCAACTCTCGCTCCTCGCAACCGAACTCGCCGCAGAAGTATCAGAATCATCCGCCCTCGTCTCCTCCCACTCCCCCACAGCCCTCCAGCGCGCAGGCCTCGCCCTCCCCAACCTCGTCGTCATCGCCCGCCGCACAGGCCTAGGCGGTCGCACCGTCCTCGAACTCTCCCCGGATCCCGCCACTTCCTCTTCTTCCTCTGGTGAGAATGAACTACCGGAACACGGCCTCCGGCCGGGGGACATTGTCCTCATCTCGGAGCAGCCCGCGGGCAACGCCAAGAAGAAGGAAGTAAAAGAGCTCGAGAGTAAAGGGGCGAGAGGGGTGGTTACGAGGGTGCGGAGGGAGGTTGTTGGCGTTGCTGTTGATGAGGGGAAGGGGGAGGAGAGGGAGTTTGGGGGGAGGGTTTGGATTGTCAAAGTTGCTGATGATGTCACGTACCGGAGGTGAGATTTCTTCTTTCCTTTTCTCTTTCACTTTTCTCGTTTTCTTTTTAAGTTGTCTTGTTCTGTTTTGTCTGTCTTTGAGGGATCCCATGTTGGGGAGAGATAGAAGCTTGTAAGCTGCATCACTCGAGACCAGAACTTCATGGATGCACGCTAGGGCTTCTATAGGTAGTTGACAACTAGTCCATGACCTGTTGTCAACAATGGCTTCCTAAACCATGGGCAGTATCAAAACTCTACAGTATCTACGGAAGGCAGACAGGGCTGACGGGGGGGGGACCTACAGAATGAGCCAAACCATGGGCAAGATCGAAAAGATGACGGAATCGGAGTACACGTCCTTCATGCGCGTCCTCTTCGGCCTCTCGAGCCCCTCACCGGTACCACCAGACCTGGCATCCGATCCGGAGCTCACAAAGATCCAATGGATCGACCCGTCCCTAAACGACTCCCAAAAGGACGCCATCCGCTTCGCCCTCGCATCCCGCGAAGTAGCCCTCATCCACGGCCCGCCAGGCGTGAGTCTTACTTACCCCCTAAACCAATCCCTCAGTCCCCTCTGCCATGCCACAGAACTAGGATAGAAGAAACGTCGTCCATAACTGACAAAGAAGGGGCAACAACAAAGACCGGCAAAACCCACACCCTAATCGAACTAATCCTCCAACTCACAAAACTCAACCTCCGCATCCTCGTCTGCGGCCCCTCCAACATCTCTGTCGACAACATCGTAGAACGCCTCGCCCCGCACAAGCTCCCCATCCTCCGCCTAGGCCACCCAGCCCGCCTCCTCCCCAGCGTCCTCGCCCACTCCCTCGACGTCCTCACCCAGACCTCCGAGGCGGGCGCCATCGTAAAGGACGTCCGCGCCGAAATGGACGCAAAGCAGGCCTCCATCAAAAAGACGCGCAACGGCCGCGAGAAGCGCCAAATCTACGCGGACCTCAAGGAGCTCCGCAAGGAGTTCCGCGAGCGCGAGCGCGGGTGCGTGAGTAACCTCATCCGCGAGAGTAAAGTCGTCCTGGCGACGCTGCACGGCGCGGGCGGGCACCAGCTCCGGGACCAGCAGTTTGACGTCGTCATCATTGATGAGGCGAGCCAGGCTCTCGAGGCGCAGTGCTGGGTGCCCTTGCTGTCGGCCAAGAAGGCTGTCTGTGCAGGTGATCATCTGCAGCTGCCGCCGACCATCAAGTCGCTCAATTCCAAAGTGAAGGCGGCGGTACCGCCAGCAACGGTCCCAAAAGAAGACGCGGAGAAGCACATCAAGGGCATGACGCTGGAGACAACCCTGTTCGATAGACTGCTCGCCCTGCATGGGTCATCCATCAAGCGTATGCTCACCACGCAGTACCGCATGCACGAGAACATTATGAGGTTTCCCTCGGACGAGCTCTACGAGGGGAAGCTCATCGCCGCGGACGCGGTAAAGGAGCGCTTGCTCAAAGACCTACCGTACGAGGTCGAGGACACGGAAGATACCAACGAGCCGCTCATCTTCATCGACACGCAAGGGGGCGACTACCTCGAAAGGAGCGAGGACGACGACAAGGACGCTGTCAAGAAGGCAAAGTTCAGCTTGCACGGGGAGAGTAAGAGCAACGAGATGGAAGGGGCTCTGGTCCGGCAACACGTCCAGAAGCTGGTCGACGCGGGAGTCAAGCCAGAGGACATTGCCGTCGTGACCCCTTACAACGCTCAGGTAAGCCTAGTCAGGCCCAACGAACCTCCTTGATTCCGGACTTTTTTGTTTGGAACTGGTCCGTCGTCGCGAAGCAAGGCATGAAAGCTGATATCGGATGAACCGAACCACAGCTCGCCATCTTAGCGCCCCTGAAAGAACGGTTCCCGGGCATCGAGCTGGGCAGCGTGGACGGCTTCCAGGGCCGTGAAAAGGAGGCCGTCCTTGTCAGCCTTGTACGGAGCAACTCCGTGGGAGAAGTAGGGTTCCTGGGCGAGAAGCGCCGACTGAACGGTAAGCTTCAAGTGAATGATGAACCCGCCGGCCGCGGGCCCGGCTGGGAAGATCCCAGCACGCGACCGGCCGTTAGCGCATGAATGTTAATGCGTTCTTAGTGGCGATGACGAGACCCAAACGCTCGCTGACGGTGATCGGGGATTCGGAGACAGTCAAGAGGTGAGTCGGTTTGAGGAAGTTGCTTCTTTTCCCCCCATCTCTTCCCCAAACTTCCCCCTTCTCTAGTTGGTTTTGGGACGTGCGGCGCAGAGGTATTCTGCGGTCTGCACAGATGGTGGCAGGCTTGTCCTGAGACATTTGCTGAGCCGCGTCAAACGTCCAACACTTCGGGCCTGTTTCTTCTGTTTTGCTAACTTGGGTTGCGCCATGATCAGAGGCAGCAACTTTCTCAAGAGGTGGATGGACTTCCTCGAAGAGAACGCTGATCTGCGTTATCCGGATTTATCGTCACTTCAAGGGTCCTGAAAGGTCCCCAAATTTGGGATGGTTGGGCAGGCCGTGGGCTGGCGGCGGCACCGAGAAACCATCTTCCATGCAAGGCCCGCCCCTAATGTCAACCTTTATGCGACGAGAGGACTCGTGGCGACAAAAGAACAGACGATCTGGAATACCGACGAACCGGCTTTGTCGATGTGGTAGCCCGCCGTGGAGAAGGGAGCTGGGATGAATCCTTATGCGGTAGGATGTGCTGGTTTCCCAACGTTGCCAAAATAGGAAAGGGCTGCATTGTCTGACTTTTTGGCGCGGCGTATCGTAGAATTTTGAATCGGCCGTCAACCATGCTCGCGGCCCACAGGGGTTCATTGGGGGGGGGGGGGGGCGGAGGGTGTGTCCGTTGACGCAAGTTGATGGGCGCCGGGGCACAGGGCCACCACAGGCGACTTGGGTCACGTCGTGGCGTGTTTGTTGTCCTGGACCAAATGGACGAAAGAAGACGGAAGAGAAAGACTCTGGAAGTGGAGGGACGGGGGCACAGATGTCAGCCGTCACTGATCAGACGAAGAAAGTGGCATCCATGTATGTTTCAGGTTACTTTCCTCGTCTGGCGACCTGTGCCATCCTTGTTCGCGTGGCCAGACCCGCCATATTCTCCTACCGAGGAGTCTCGGGGGATGCTTGACTTAGAGTTGGCTCGCTCGGTCTCGACGAGATTGTGCGCTGGAATTCGCGGTGTCTTCGGGGTTGTGTACGGAGTCTGCGGACTATTCGTACGGATAGAGTATTTGAAAGCAGACCTGAGACTGCGGCTGATATTGGGTTGCCCGCACCAAAACTCAACAAATCAGTCTCGAGCCTCTTGGCACAAGATATCATCTGCAATCCGACCAGGGCTCTCTCTTTTGAGTTAGTTTGAAGCCATGTCCGTTGTCAAGACGAAACCAAAGTGAAAACTTCAGTCACCCACCTTGTACTTCGTATCTCTCGCTGCGTCAATTCCGCGCAGCGAATACATCTTGTTGGCTTTGGCATCTGTGGTTATCAGATTGTACCGTCCCGACTGCAAGACAAGTTTGGGGATGATAGAGAGTGAGCTATGACACTGCACAGCCCATATCACTCACAGTACGGCACATCAACTCACTTCCAGAAGAACGGTTCATCCCCATACCTATGAGACAAGGCCAATACCGGGGCAAACCACCAATTGGACGCATGTTCCGGTGGCTGGAAGAGCGCTGGCGAGTAATGTGCTTTGCTAGTATCGCTAGCCGTGCCATTTTGTTATACTCGGCTCCTATAGATGCCGGCCGCTCGTGCTCTGGGCTGACGGCCGATCATAAGTCGGTTGTCTCGCTATATGATGCTGCGCCAAGGTCCACTGGGCGAGACGATCAAACCGTTGCTGGAGCGGGATAGCTTCTTTGGTGTTGGATCGAGGTTGGATCGGGGGCTACATTGACGTGATTGACTAGGCACAAGTACTTCGTGTGGGTGATTTGGCGTGGCTTTGCTATCCGTACCGCCCACGTAACAGTACTATGCACTGCATGATGTTGGTTGTCCACGAGGGAGCCGCTGCCTTCCTGGTTGAAGCTATATCACGAATGCATATAGGCACCAGAAATAGCTGACTGGTCAAGAAGAATTTTTCCGATGCCTTGCCCTCTGCGACTCTGGCGAGGTGTCATAATCCAGAACCCAAAGAAAGAATCCACTCATCAAAGATTTGCGGTGAGTTCGCGGTGCCTTTGGCCGTCGCTGAACAACCCCCACGAGTCAGTGTGGACAGGCCAAAGAAGCCAGCATATGCTGCGTTGCGGAGAAGCTGTCCACATTGACACGAGCCGCAGGACGGTCGTCGAGCTTCGCCCAAAAATGGAATGGCCTTGATCTAGGCAGACGATAGGGGACAACGGGGGTTCTTCTTGATGGGCAAAAGGCTTGCAAGCCATGTGGTAGTTTAGCCTCTGAATCCTGCGAGGTGGGGCTGTCCTAAATGCAGTTGTGTGGATGCTGGTCTGTCTTTTGGACGCGAAGATGCTGCACGTCGTTGACGGGGGGGCTGGAAGACGCGGCCGAGGAAGGGTTTCGCTCCTCCAAGAAGGGGCCCAAAGTGAGTTATGATGGAAACTGCTTGATTCCTATTGAGGTACTGAATTGTGCCGCAGCATCCAGAGGTTGCCGCCGGTGTGAACCAAGAATAACGCAAGTAGGTGGCAGGTGCATGCAGGAGGACGTGGCATGTGGTTGCAGCGATCCGAGTGAGGAAAACTCCGTCGTAACCTGCGGCTCGGTGGCACATTGGATTCGTCCGAGAGACTAGCAATCACATCTCTGCAGCGTTGCTTCTGAGGAGCTGAAGCTAGCGCTACCACAATGATGGACAGTCGTTGAGCCATCGGGATTCAATCAGCTAGAATCTAGTGTGAATGGCTGTCAGGTCTGACGGCGGCGGCGCCAGTGGAAGTGACAGAGGCATCCGACGGCAAATGAGATAGTGCAAACGGCCAGGCGGACGAGAGGAGTTAAGGCCGTTGGTCTTGGGTGGCAGGATCCTTGAAACCCAGCATTCCATTTGCCGGTGCCCTCGCTCACTTCCCATTGGGGTAAGGCAGGCGTTCGCTGATACCCTAGCGCGGCGTCATGATATCGGACGACTAGTTGGCGATAGAGGTCTTGGATGGCGGGTGAAGATGCTAGCTAGGCTTGGTCGATTTCCGATGGTGTTGGTCGATGGCTGTCAGACCAAAAGTTACACGCACTGTCGGTTGTTCGTAATAATCATCAGCACCCTCGAGCAGCATGGCTTTGACCTCGTCCACGACTCGCCCGTCAACTTGATGAACGGCTGGGATACAAAAAACCGAGACTTGAGAGACGAGGCCTGTCGCTGTCATGGAATGAGCCATGGCGGGACGGGCAGCGGGAGCGAGTTCCCTTGTTGGGCCCCCATGTTGATGGGAAGAAAAAAGAAAAGGAAGCAGAGACTGAAACAAGACGCCAAATGCGGCAGCTCCTCGGAGGAGAAGTCGGACCAGCAATCCGGGTGAAATGGAGCCGGCAGGGCCGGGAATGACCTTTCCATCTACAGACTCCATACTCTTTCCTCTCAAGTCTTCTCAACCTTCTTGCCCAGGTAGATTTCTGTGCAGGTTCTAAGGTACTCCGTACGGAAAGTTCTTACTCAGTGCCGCCTGCAGATATCATGTCAGGACCACAGATGGTGGCAGTCACGCAGGAGGAGCTTTCCAGTATCCACACAAGGTACTTCTCGAGCAAGGTATCCGTACAGAGTACATAGGTAGCACCCTGGGTATCTACGGATACTTCGATACTCGGACGGAGTACCTCGTAGACTCCTCATCTCACAGCTGTCAGTGCAGGTGAGTCGCGCATGTGGGGGTAGTCACGGTCGTTTAACAAGCAGGTCGCGTGGATCACAATGACCTTTTAGGCATTCGGGAGGGTAAGCTGTTTTGCGTTGAGGCTGAGACACTGCAAACCCGTACGAAGTGTGGCCCTGGACTTGGAACTGGAACTGAAACTGGAACTGCCATTGACGAGATGAGAAGATCCAACAATACCTACCGAGTTCGGATATTCCAAGGCCTCTTTTCATAGCTTTGTACAAAGTATGGGCACCTATGTTTTCCAATACATTGCTCACATACCTTACCTTACTCAGTCGGTGCAACGAGCCCCAATACTGACCACTTCAATGCCACCTTTCACGATATTCCACTCCAACATGCCCCCCCCCCCGCCTACCACTCGTTCCCTTGATCGACGCCTGGAACATTGTTTGTTGATGGACAGAAAGCCGACGTCGCTGGCGGCGAGCTTGGTGCTTGCCTGTATGACAGTGTCGAAGACCAACCTACGCGCCTCTTCCTCCCACATTCCACCCAACCCTCACGTCGCTCATACACGCCCACGACGCCCTCTTCCTGCGTATGGACGACACACGATATCTCAAACGTCACAATTGGTCAAAGTCGACGTCCACCCACGTTCCTCGTCCAATCCCGACTCATTCTCAACCACACAGACCTACCACAACAACAGACACCACACGCAACTCTTGCAGCTCACGTCTAGTCCCGGCTCTGCATCCCCTGGCAAATGGCCTGCTCCGACATGCACAACAAAAAGGTGGCTTGCCTTGGATGGGCAAGGACACCGAGTTCAGTTGGTCGAGGTGTCACCGTCTGCGCCTCTAGCGCGACGACACCACTTCCAGTCCTCCGAGTCCAATGACCCCCAAATGTCCAATGGCTCATCCAATGGCTTCCTCCAAGGGTCCTTCCAGAGTCCAACATGCTCTCCCCAGCCAGGGGGTGTCCCACGTCCTTTCTCCTTCCCCACTGCTCTGGGCGCCCCAAGCACTGGCCTCAAACAAGGGCCATCCCCCGAGCTAGGGAAGCCAAGAACGACATGGAGCAGGGGGCGGCGAGCGAACGGCGACGGCGAAGGCCACGAGGGGCACCGGGGCACCACCAGGGCACCCTGACGAAATGAAATGGAAATCGCCGTGGAATGGGACGCTTCGGCTTCCATTGCGGCTTCCAGCTTTGTCTTTGACCTCCGACCTTTCCTGCTGCCCTGTCACTCTGCTGAGTCCTCTGTTCGCGGCTTGTCCTCTCTTCTTTTCGAATCAACCTTTGGTCTTGAGGATAACAAGGTGCGGATTATTATGTGTGCCATAACATGACATGAACGTCCAGAATTGGGAAAACGCGTCTGCATGGACGGTGGCTATCCGTAGGCGCAGAAAACCAAACGGCTGGCCTATCCTTCTTCTCGAATCTTGCGGCTTGCAACTTGCCCCATCACTGTATCCTAGACGCGGCCAATACGCACCATTGACGGCGTTCCAATGGTCCGTATCCTCCTGGTCGTGCATGCATACTTGTTTCATCGCGCTAGCATCTGCGTCTGTTCTGCATCTGCCTTTCTGCCTCTTCTTCCGTACGGATACTTGGTCTCCATCAGAGCTTCCCGCCCTTGTCTTTCCATCTCCCTCCCCTTCAGGAACCCTTGCTGGTTCATTGTATGTAAAGTCTGATGTACACATCTTGCGCGAGAACAACCGATACAGATACATGCCATTGCTTTCCCTTTTCTCCCGCCCTTTCTGGCTCTTTGTTTCTTTTTCCTCCTGCCCTCTGCCGTGTCGTGCTTTTTGCCGTTGTAGACACGCGAAAGAAAAAAAGAAAAAGAAGCATCTTCTGAACCAACCGCATCTCTTCGCTTCTTCCCCGACCAGTCTTACATCACTAGACGTCTACTATTACCTATTACTTGCCTCACCCGGCTTATTATTGTCAAAGTACGAAGACCGTACCATATTTACTTACCCCCTGATCTGCTTCAGGTACCACTACTTTGCTCTCACGTTCCTTGCACTTCTACCACTATTCATCACGCATTCCTCTCTTGTCGTCTAATTCATACCGTTCACCAACCATTCTTCTCCCACGCCCTACCTCAAGCTAAGCGGCGCGCTATACGCCACCGCCCGTTCTAATCAACATTGCTCCTCCGGCCCGCCTCGTCAGCCTGTCGCAGACCTGCCCGGGTGCTCCTTTGATACATGACGCATGCGCTGCTAGGGTCCCCCCTTCTTAGTTGCTTAACTACTACCCCAATCCTCGATCCCCTCGTGGGTTTCTCTCCTTTATTCGCCTCAGTTCTCGTGCCTTGATTGACCACTCAACATCCTTCTCTCCTCTCGTACGGATACTCACCGTTACCGCGGCTGTAGAGGGCGCATTTCGCCACCCCCTCCGCCTCTCCGATTCCGACAGGCCTAGACGACGCGCCGCATTGCTGGCTATATGCACCATGAATCAGGTTCCAGCATAGATCACCACCTGGCCTAGACATCTGGCGCGTCCGATCAAGAATCCCAGCCTCGACTGGCGAACCGGGCATTGGCATTGGAACTAAACAAACCTTCACGGCACGGCACCGGACGCATCCCGTTGGCAATCCTTTGTGGGCCTCACCAACATTCTCTCTGCCCTTCCTCGTCACTTCTCTTCGGGCCTCACCACACTTCATGGCTTAACAGGGGTCGACTATCAAATACAACGCTCTTCGTCCTCCGGCCTCCTTCACACTCGCTCTAGACCTAGAGCCACGCACGAAGTAATCACCAATTGTTGGAACTGCCATGGGCCTCTTCAAGTCGGCTAACCCACCCGCCGCTCCTGGCGCAGTACCACGATCTTTAACGGGCCAGTCCATCCGGGGCAAAATATCAGGCCCGATTCCTATCCCTAGCCCAGTCGACGACGAATTTCCAATGCGCAACCCAGGCACCGGGATTGCTACGCCCCTGACAGAGGGCGACATGCAGCAGCAAATGATGCATCCGCCGCAGGCCGAACAAAGGGCCGGATCGATTGTCTCGGTCCCTCAGCCTCAGCCCGAAGTTTCACAGGCCCCGAGAGCAGACTCGGTGATTGCACCAACGGGTTCCGCCGGTTCTGGCTCCGGTTCGGCATCATCGCCAACATCCGCGTCACACGCCAACACGCCCCAGTCACAAAGAAGAACAAACGTTTCCAGCAACTTGCGGTACTCTGCCGTGAGTGCGTCATCTGAACAGACGGGCGCGAGCAAGGATCGCCCGCAACGCAAAAAGTCAACATTGCGCGGCGCATTGGGGAGGCTTTTTGGTCGCAAAAAGAAGACGGGCTCTCAGGGTTCGACCGATTCGCAGCGCGTATCGACGTACAACGCCTCGAACCAGCACAAGAGCGTAAGTTTCGGCACCGGCTGCTCCCGTACCATGGCATTCTTTCTGAACTTGGAGACTGACGGGGGACCAACAGGACACTTCGGGGTTAAGCCGAGTCAAGGAAGCCGAACCAAAGCGATCGGCGTCCTTGCCGATCACCGAGTACGACAGAGCATTACGGTCTCACTCCATTGGGCCCCAAGACATTACCGCCATTGAGAGTGCGCGCAATTCCATCAACGTCGACCCAACTCTGTATCAAGGTCACAAGAGGGCAGCTACAGCCACCACAAGTCAGACCTACTCGGCCCCTTTCAGGAGTCGCGAGGGGGAACTCGCAGGTCTCTCGCCTCGCCCCGCAAGCACTCACGTACGCGGGAGTCGCTTGTTCACAGATGACGATGACCCCGAAGAGATTGGGCGAGCCATCACTAGTGATGTTAGCCAAAAGCGCCGATCCAGGAGTCTTAGCGGAATGCAAAATCCAGAAGGACGATCCGAAGTTCGGCGCAGAAGCGACGAAATCCGATATTGGAGGGAAAGCTATGACCCAGCCTTCATCGCATCGCCGGCGTCGTCCAATATTCCAGACCATGAAAATCAGTTCACGGGCATGGCTCCTCCCATGAGCATGCCCGAGTCACCAATCGAGCAGGGACATGTGCACACACCACCTCAACCATTCTCGTTTGGGAACTTGACGCACATGAATGTCATGGCTGGCATGAAGATCACGCAGGCGGCCAGTATCGAGACGCGCATAGAGACACTAGAGGAGAGGATGCACCGTGTGGAGGACGTGGTTACACATCTCTGCAACTCTGTTCCTGGATTCCAGATTCACATGAACCAGCCACAACGTCCTGCGCCTTCGGTCCCAGGTTCGAATCCATCTTCTCAAACGACAAGCACTGCAGTCAATCCGGCACTGCAGCAACTCTCGCGCCAACAAGCCCCAGTCTCTCGGTACAGTAGCTCTGCGCATTCCAAGGAATCCCACACCTCCTTCGGCGAGACTCCCACGTATGTGGGCTCTCTTCAACTCCCTGCATCTATGAACAGGCCGACGTCGAATTCCACCATCCGAGGCGTAACAAGCTTACCGGCACTATCTCGTGTCGAGCCGAACAGGGCACAAGAGACCTTCACAGCAGACCACTACACGATGCTCCTCGCGCTGTTGGAGACGGAAAGAGCCTCTCGACAGGCCCTGGAGTCTCAGGTCAAGAAGCTGACGAGACGCTTGAACATGATCTCTGGACCCAGCGGTCATGGCCGCATGTCTCTGGCAATGGAGCCTCCCCCAACGGCCAAGTCGTTTGGCAGCGTGTCTGCCTTTGACCAGGATTCATCCGACGAGGAGGAAGCCGCGTCCAGGACTCATCGGTTCTTGGCTGAAGACTCTGGCGTCGGGACCGGCCCTGGAGACGAGGACTCGTACTCGGAGGTTTTCGCGACGCCAAGGGAAGAGCAGCATCACGGCTACGGCGCTTTCGGGGAGGAATTGCGCGACGAGTACGAAGACCCCCAGCGGAAGAAGGCAGCCAGGACATTGTCGCTGAGCCAAATGACGCTGGGTAAGAAGCCGCCATCCTCGATAGGGGTGCGGATTTGATGCTTTAATTGCGGTACTGTTATGCATTGTTTCCATTCCAGGTTTGTCATTATACCCCGGGAGATGTTCTCCCACTCACGAGGCGACGATGACGATTCTGTTCTCGGCAGTCGTTGAGTTGAAGGCGTCCCCTGTCTTTGCGATTCAGCACTGATACCTGCCCGGAGCTTCTGACGGGCTCAGCATTGTCATGGTAGCGAAACATTTTCCATATTAATTATTTCTTCTCTTTTTTTTTTTTTTCTTTCTTTTTTTTTTCTTTTTTTTACCCGTACATATGACTACCCATTTCCGTTCTTGACGATCTGGTTGGAACAGTCTTTGTGGGATGCATCCCATTGACGAGGATTTCTGGTTTCTTTTTGTTTTATTCAAGCGTGCGGATATCTCGGTGAGAGGAAAGAAGGAAAGGTCAGCGAGCCTTCTACTGGTGCAATCGAATTTCAGGACGATAACGCCCGGCAGAGGTGGAAAAGGTTGGCCAGGTTGCCTCAACTTGGTTCTGCAGGTTGTGTGCGTGTATAACATGAAGACGTGCCCTCGGTTGGACACGGATTAGTTCCAATGATGACAAGACCCAAAGTACTCTGTTGCTTTTGACACAAGATGTGCCAGACCTGTGATTTACTACGAGTGATGCACAATTTACATCTTGTGCGACAGACAGGCAGACAGACAGACAGACAGATAAACAAACAAACAACGGGCCCGGATGACAAGGCCAACCCAGTTGTAATCTCCGGATTGTCATCTCGGGGAAGGAGGACCAGAATGTTTCGAGAACATCTCCAGGGCCTAAAAACCCCAGGCCAGGCCCGGCAAGCCTCCAGCCACCCTTACCGTCGGGCCAGGTGAGCGGAACGCGGATTCGGGAAAACTGGCAGTGTTGATTAGTTGCCCGGCTTGTGAGTATGTTGTCAGCTCGCCCGTACTTGGTGGCGTTTGTTCGGTCGTAACTTGTCAGTGACAGCCTGATAGGTAATGTCCTTCCGCCCCGCCCCGCCCCGCCCGACGAAAGCCGCACTTCACAGGAAAGCTACTCCTCAGCTGAGAGAGCCTGAGAGACGAGAAACGAGAAACGAGAAAAGTCAGCCAGCCAGCAGAAGCTTTGTTAGCGGGCAGCTGGGCCCGACGCCAGACAGTGTTTCCAATTGGAATTCTCGGGCTTCCAGAAGACTAGGCAATCTTAGCTTAATCCACTCATGAGTCGCTCCCCTCGGTCCAGCCAACTCCGCAAAAAAAGATTAAGATTGAAATTGATAGAGGATTTGTGGATAAGGTGAGGTAGCTTCTCCGCCAGAGTGAGGTGTGGGCAACCTACGTAAGCACAACTCTACCTAAACTGGAGGTCGTTATCAGTGGGAACAAAAGTCTCGGGGACAGCACAAATACGACTTGGTACGGATAATTGAGCATTTCTGCGAACAAACAAACGCACATACCACCCGTCCAACCTCTCTCTCCTCCGCCCACGCTTTTGCCCCTCCGAACGCTTTTGTTCAACTACACACGACTCTGTCTACCAACCCCTCCCACGTTGTTCGTGAGCGCGCGCGATTGATTGATTGACATCAATCGCAGTTGAACGTATCGGTCTCCTCACCTCTACCGAGAAGCCAGCGAGAGATTCCCTCGTATCCTCGACGAAACCGAGTCTTTGCGCTTCATAAAACGAAACCTTTTCGTCGCGAAAGCAAAGTTCGCGCGCATTTTAGACCTCTCTCTTCGCAAGCCACATAGTCGACAGAAAACAAGAAACGACCGCCCAAGATGTCCGGCTGGGTCGATCGGTCCAAGACCACCCAATCGCCCAACTACCGCGGCTCAACCTCCTTTGCGACGTTCATGATCATCGGGCGTACGTCTCCTCTTCCCCCTTCCCCCTTCCCCCTTCTCCCTCTACCCACATCTCGCGCATCACCAGCAAAGAAACACAAAACAGATCCAAGAAGAAGAATCCAAAATAGCTAACAATCTCTCCTCCCCAAACAGCAACCTGCTTCTTCCTCGGCATCCTCTTCGCCTCCTTCCCCTACGACTTCCCCCTCCTCTGGACCTCCGCCCCCGTCCCAGAAACCTTCTTCACCCACCTCGAAACCCACCTCAAATTCATGCACCAATCCCCGCCCCTCATCGGCCGCCTCCTCAACATCATCGTCTTCACCGGCTTCCTCGGCTTCTTCATCAAACTCTTCCGCCCATCAGAGGCAAACGTCCTCTTTGACGGCGCCTCCCTGGTCCTCTACCTCATCGGCGTCGGCGTCTACATCACCAACATTGTCAAGGGTCTTCGCTCCGTGAGCGCGGGGATCTGGGATGACCCCAATTTTACCGGGGAGGTGAAGGACGGTCCCGTCACGGGGGAGGTCATCCTGGGAAAGGAGGATAGCTTAAAGGTGCTGGCGGCGAGTAATACCATTTTGGCGCTCGTGTTGGTGGGTGTGTTGGTGTTGCAGGCTGGGCAGTGGTATGCTGAGCGCAAGGACCGCGAGGACTTTGCGAAGCTTGAGAAGGAGGAGAAGGGGGCCAAGGGGTCTGCGAACAAGAAGAAGCAGTGAGCAACGGGTGCGTTGGGCTCTTCTAGGTGGTACGTGGGTGTTGTTACGCAGATGGAGACTGTGGATCTGTTGAGGGGCTGTGTGAACATGTCATTGCGATTGGTATGCCCTCTACATCAGCTTTCAATGCGGTTAGGGTAGTTTGAGGTGATGTTTGGTGTCGATCGCATCGGTTCAAATAAGGGTCACTATATGAGTCGCATCATACAAGTGGACAGGCAGATTGTGCCTCATTCGAAATATACCATGTCTTAACGCCACTCTTTTTGAACTTTGACATTCGGGCTCTATTTAGACCCTGACCTCTTGATAAGGTAACAACGACAAGCAAAGAAACCCTGCTCCCTCCACGAGCAGTCCTATCGCATCTCTACCACAGACGAATGCGTCTACCATTTTTTACTCCTTCCTCACATGCGAAAAAAGCCCTTACTCGAGCTTGAGCTGCTCAAACTGCTTAATCGTGTCCTCGAAACTCCTGGCCTCGGACTCGAGATCGACGAGCTTCTGCTTGTCCAGCTTCTGGACGGCCTCGGCGACCTTCTCCTTGTAGATGGGGTCGTTGAGGACCTTGTGCTGCTTGTCAATGTTGGCGCGCGCCTTGTCGAGCCTCTTCTTGGCCTTCTCGACCTCGGCGTCGAGGTCGACGCGGCCCTTGACGTGCAGGTACACAGAGGCGGACGAGGCGACGGGGAACGCGACGCAGCCGGCGGGACGGGCGGCGTCGGAGGCGATGATGTCGATGCCCGTGACGCCCTTGCCGCTGAGGGTCTTGATGGAGGCCACCTGGTCGTTGATGGTCTGGTGAGAGGTGGCGTCGTGAGACTGGATGATGACTTCGGTTCGTGTTAGTGGGCGGGATCTACATCGCAACATCGGCACGGGCGACTTACTCTTGCTCTCCTCCTTCTGAGCGTACTCGCTCATGAGCGATCTCGCACCACGCGAGCATCCCAGAACAAGCTCGTAGGCGGCCTCGGACTTGGGGTCGTCAAACTTGGGGTCGTAGACGGGGTAGCTGGCAAGCATGATGGACCTGGTCTTGTCTTCAGGACGGCGAGGCAGACGCTGCCACAACTCCTCCGTGAGGAATGGCGTAAAGGGGTGGATCATGGTCAGCGCACCCTCCAACACGGTGTACAGGGTCTGGACGGCGCTGGCGGCCTCCTCGGGCGTGCCATCTCTGATGATGGACTTGCTGTTCTCAATGTAGACATCGCAAAGGAAGTTGAGAATGTACTGGTACACAATACCAGTGGCCTGCTGGAAATCCCTCGCCGCCAGAGCGGTGTTGATCTCCTTCGCGGCGTTGTTGAGCTTGTGAAGGATCCACTTCTCGGCGAGAGTGACACCAACGGTAGCCTCCTTGGCGGGAACAAAGTCCGCGGGCAGGTTGCCGAGGACGTACTTGGACGCCTGCCAGATCTTGTTGCAGAACTTTCTCCAGCCGGTCATGACCTTGACGTCAAAGTTGACATCACCGCTCGTCGATGTGAGCGCAGCCATGGTGAAGCGAAGACTGTCAGCACCGTTGCGAGGCAGACCATCAGGGAAGGCCACCTTCTGGTACTTCTCGGCCTTGGCAACTTCGCTGGGGTGGAGGTTACCAGTGCGAAGCTTGGCGTGGAGGTCCTCGAGCTTGATACCAGCGATGGCGTCCAGGGGGTCAATGACGTTACCCAAAGACTTACTCATCTTACGGCCCTCAGAGTCACGGACGAGACTGTGGCAGTACACCTCAGTGAAAGGAACCTGGCCAGTAAGCTTGATACCAAGCATGACCATTCTGGCGATCCAGAAGAACAGAATATCCCAACCAGTCTCGAGAACGGAGGTAGGGTACAACTCCTGCAGATCTTGGGTCTTGTTGGGCCAGCCCAGGGTTGAGAAGGGCCACAGACCAGAAGAGAACCAGGTGTCGAGAACGTCCTCATCTTGCTCAAGAGTGAACGTCTTGCCGGGAAGGGCAGCCTTGGCCTTGGCCTCGGCCTCCTCGCGGTTCTTGCCAGCGAACCACCGCTTGTTGTCCAGGGAATCAGACTTCTCGCCCTCAACCTTGGCCAGGTAAACAGGGCAGCGGTGACCCCACCAAAGCTGACGGGAGATACACCAGTCGTTGATGTTGGCCATCCAGGCGTAGAAGCTGCGCTCGGAGGACTCGGGCTTGATCTTGATTCTGCCGTCCTTGACAGCGGCAACGGCATCGTCGGCCATGCTGCGCATGCTCATGTACCACTGGGGCTTCAGCAGAGGCTCAATGACGTCCTTGGAACGCTCGCAGAGAGGGATAGTCATGGCGTTGTCCTTCTTGTCGACGTAGAGACCGAGCTGCTTGAGCTCCTCCTGGATGGCATAACGCACACTAAAGAGGTCAGTTCACGTTATGCTATACGAGATCAGCACAATCACTTACTCGAATCTCTTTTGGCCCTGGTACTTGCCACCATTCTCGTTGATGTTTCCATCATCGGTAAGAATGTTGATGAACCCAAGACCGTGCTTCTGTCCCAAGTTGAAATCGTTGGGGTCGTGGGCCGGGGTGAGCTTGACGGCACCGGTACCGAACTCCTTGTCGACGTAGGTATCCGCAACGATGGGCATCAGACGGCCCTCGATGATGGGGTGCACGGCCTTCTTTCCAACCAGGTGCGTGTATCTCGGATCATCCGGGTGAACGGCGATACCTGAATCACCCAGCATGGTCTCAATACGGGTGGTGGCAACCTCAAGATATTCATCGGTGCCCTCAATCTGGTACTTGAAATGAATCAGAACACCAAACTCGATCTTCTTCTCGTAGCCGGGAACCTCCAGCAGTGTCCTTCCAGTCAGCTCCTTGTTGATAACCTCGAGGTTGGAAAGGGCGGTGGTGAGCCGGGAAGACCAGTTGACAAGTCTGTTGGCGCGGTAGATGGTGCCCTCCTCGAACAGTCTGACAAAGGTCTCGGCAACGGCGGCGGACAGGTTCGCGTCCATGGTGAAGGCCTCACGGCTCCAGTCGAAACTTCCTCCCATCTTTCGGAGAGCAGCGTTGATCTTGTCGTGGTATTCGCCCTTCCAGGTCCAGACCTTGTCGACAAAGTCCTCACGGCCGAGGTCGTGACGGGTCTTTCCTTCTCTTCTCCAGAGCATGTTTTCGACAACGCTTTGTGTCGAGATACCGGCGTGATCGCAACCGGGGATCCAGAGCGTCGTCTTGCCCAACATGCGGTTCCATCGAATCATGATATCTTGAAGGGAGTCGCCGAGGGCGTGGCCCAGATGCAGGGCACCGGTAACGTTGGGAGGAGGGTGGGCGATGACGAACTTGCCCGCGGGCTTAACCTTGCCATCGGCAGTAAATTCGGGCTCTGTTGAGGTTGAATTAGCTCAGGCAAAGCCTCCCGCGAAGAGGGGGGTTGCCGGGAATCACTTACTGAAGAAGCCTTCCTTCTCCCACCAGTCATACCAGGCACTCTCGACAGCTTCAGGGTGATACGCCTTGAAGTGGGGGTCCTCAAGAGGCTTGAGGCGCTTCTTCTCTCCCTTGGGGGTATCTTCAACGTATTCGGGGATGGCCTCCTCCTCCTTCTTCTCGGCCTTGGCCTTCTTCTCCTTGTTCTTGGACGCAGCGGGGGCGGCAGCGGCCTTTGCGGCCTTCTCGGCGAGCTTTGCCTTGAACTTGGCGTCTTTCTCGGCCTTCTTGCGCTCCTTCTCCAATTCCTTCTCGGTCTTCACCTTTGGAGGTGCGCCGGTAGTCGCACCAGCATCCTGGCCAGCGGCATGGGTGGCATCCGTCGAGGCAACCTGGGCCTTGGTTTCGTTTGAGACGGCAGGAGGCGCCTGCTCCTGGAGGCCCTCAGTGGCGCCGACTAGGAAAGGAGACACTTGGTCAGCTCAATGTCTGGAGGGCATCACAATGGGAGTTGGCTCGGGAGGCATCGTGAGAATGTGGGGGGTGGGCTGGGGGAGGAGGGGCTTGCGCACTGGGGTTTCCGCGTCCGCTGTCGGTGGCCATGGTGGCACGTGTCTGTAGGAAAGGTCGAAGACGGGGAGGACGTGGACGTAGACTGAGTGATGGAGGGCGCACGCGTAGTGCTCGAAGAAATATTGAGTTGGACGTGGTGGATATGTTTGCGAAGAAGCCCGGGGAGGTGGGCTTCGACTGATGGTACAAATACAAAAAAATCTCCAAAGGTCTCTGAGGAGGGGCAAGCAACTATGACTCGGCGGTCTGATTGCAGCACTTCGCGGATTTGAGTCACAGGATTGGGTGTTCGAGGAGGAGGGCCTTGGAGGGGTCATGCAGCTAAAATTCGGGTGCGAGCCACACGCGCAAGGAACCTGAGGTGCTCAAGTCCGATTTTCCAGCCACAGGGCAGGGGTGGTCAAGGTACCTTATCGATGACTTTCCTTATCGATAAGAAATATCCGTACCAAAGTTCCATTGGATGAGTTGCACGCCGCTTTTGCCCTGGCGCATTTCCTATCGACTGATAGAACTTGGAAGCTCAAGCTCCAGCCACACCAATCAAGGTCGTTGGATAATTCATCATACATTCATTCACTTCCTACCTTCCGAAGCTGGGAACCTGACTCACCTGGATTCTCCATTTGTTTCAATGGTGGTGGCCGTGACGCCATGTATATCCAGAGAGCCATCCCCCGGTTCGCCCAATATGCCAGACAACCACTCTCAAGACGAGGGATGCAAACGGCATGCTTCAGTATCCACGGAAATGAAGACAGTTGGCAGGTGAGCCTGCCTTGAAAGATCTTACTTGCATCGAGACCTCCTATCTCAGTCATACTGACCGCGTTCATAGGGCACTCTTGTTAAGAAAGTGACCAGGACCGTCAGGGCCTTTGAGAATCAAGGCCTCAAGAAAGTCGACGGCACGGTTGTAGTGCTTGCGTCCCGGCAATATGCGTCATGGCTGCTAGATGACAAGTTCATGGCCGCATTGCTGCGACCCTTTGGTGATTCGAAGTCAGACCTCGAAGTGGGCCGCGAAGTCACCGCTCTCGCCGGTGTAGTCGATGGGCTTCACCCCCTCCGTGCATTCGGTGACATCCCACACGGATTCTCATTCTACTACGGGCCAGAGCATATAATCATGCCGAGCCTGTGGCAGAAGAATCTTTCTGACGCGCAGTCTGCTCCGTCCAGCAACGCCAAGCTGAACGCTGCCATTACCTTCTCCTACGGAAGGAAGCCTGACAATTACGTATGCACACTTCCCTTGGCAAACACAATCTTCCAGAATGGCCTCCAGTCGACGCTCATCGCTAGCCGCTGGTATCTCAACAAAAAGGGGGGCTTGGATCTGATCGAGCGCGAAGAGCGGCGGGCTCAGGAAGTCAACATCTTCACCAACAGAGAAAGCGAGACAAACAACTTGATTCAGGCATCCCTGGTCCCGATCACGGCTCCGCGAAAGATCGTATCGGGTCTGGGCAACATCATCAGACAGGTTGAGGTAGATGGCAAAGAGACGCCCGCTTCAGCGGAGCTCGAGACGGCTGTCCAGGCGCTTTTTGACAGGCGGACGGCAGAGGGCCACGAATTCCCTCCGGGCCCCGTGGGTGTATGGGGCCTCGTTTGCCCCCCTGGCGATGACCAAGCGGGAAACATCGAATTCTTGAATAAGTGGTCGGGGTGGGCGTCAAAGATACAGAACGCTGGAGACGAGTGGAGACTGGCCTTGGATATGAAAGACTATCTCAAATGGCTCATCAAGAGGGGTGTCAGAGTCTATAAGATTCGTAAGTTGAATACCCAGCTCACCAAAGTGTAAGCTCATCTAACACTCGAGTGAAGAGAGTGGTGGCGGCGGCTGGGGCAAGAAGGCAGGCCTCCTTTCGCTCGACCCCGAAGTCAAGTATTCTGCTTCCTCCGAGGAAGAGGACCTCGACAGTTTTATCCGTTCCTTTGAGAACCGGAACGAGGGCGGCGGTGTCGATTTCGAACAAGGCGTCATCGCTCCGGGCTCGTACATCCAATACTTTGTCGCCCCGCCCTTCGCCGCCGCCAAAGTGCATGCGGCAGCGGAAAAGGAATCTCAGTTTACCGACTGCTTTGGAATGACGGACGACACGCGATTGGAGGCATCGGCTCTGGTCCCCGTTTCGAAGGCGTGGCAAAGCATAAGGCACCAGTTCGGTGCGGTGACAACCCACGGGCTCTTCATCGAGTGCAGGTCGGAGCCTCCTGTCGTTCGGGAGACGAAGCTGGACGTTCCCGGAGCGTGGATCGGACATTTGGGATTTTCAGACCAAAAACGTTCCAATTTCAGGAAGCTTAGCCTTGAGACGGAAGGAGGCTTGGGGACTAAGGTGTAAAATCTACGATTGTAAGATTAGGAGAGAAACCGCTGTAACTATTTGTACTGGAAAAGAGCTCTGTTATGTATTTCTATATTGTAGCTACGAAGCTTGGGCCGGTGATCCGGTGTTCGCGGTGTAGGTAGGTAATTGAGTGGCGGGGGTGGGGGGGGGGTTTGACGAAAAAGAACTGACGCAATTCTGTAACTTGCAGCTCAGATCGCCGCAAGTGGATGCGCGCGCACCTTTCTCTCATACATCTCACTCACCCTCATCGACCAGATATGTTCCCAGCATTTAGACAGACATCTCAGACAACATAACCCTTAACTCACCATTTTCTCGATCATGGCCGCAGACAACGGGACGCCCTCAAAGATCGGAGTCATCTCCATCGGCGACATGGGCGTCGGCATAGCCAAGCTCCTCATCGCCAAAGGCTTCCAAGTCGCAACGAACTGCAAAGGCCGCAGGTAAAGTCAAAATCCTCCCTCCTTTCATACATCTCCCAGTTGACTCACTCATATCTCACAGTGAGGACACCCTCCAACGCGCCCGCGACGCAAAAGTAGAGCTCCTAGAAACATATGAAGCCCTAGCATCCCAATGCGCCGTAATCCTATCCGTCGTGCCCCCGCGCGACGCAGAAGCCACATCAGACCGCATCATCGACGCCCTCGCCGGCACATCCTCATCGCGCGAGACGCCCCTCTACTTCATCGACATGAACGCCGTAGCCCCCTCAACCTGCAAATCCATCGCCGCCTCCTTCGCCCGCGCCCCCCGCACCCCCGCACGCTTCATAGACGCCTGCATCATCGGCGCCCCGCCCAGGCTCAAATCCGCCCCCAACGCCGGCACCAACGTCTCTGCCTCGGCCCCACTGCCCGGTACTACCGGCGGCGGCGATGACGACAACGACCCGGATGCGTGGTCCGTCCCGGGCATGCCCATGTCCGGCCCTTACAAACTATCCGACCTATCCCTCCCGGGCACCACGGAAGACACAGACTTTGGCGCCCGCCTCAGCACCGTCCTAGGCGGAAACCACATCTCCGATTCCATCGGCGCCGCCTCGGGCCTGAAAATGTGCTTCGCCTCCCTCTCAAAGGGCTTCACCGCCATCGCGACCCAAGCCTTCACCTCGGCCCACAGAATGGGCGTCCTCCCGCACCTGCGCGCCGAGCTAGCCGCCCGCCTGCCCTCGCACCTGCAGTCCGCCGAAAAGGGCGTGACGACGATGCCGCCCAAGGCGTACCGCTGGGTCCGCGAGATGGAGGAGATCAGCGAGACGCACGCCGAGGAGGGCGGGTTCGGGCCCGAGTTGTTTGTGGGCGCGGCGGGGGTGTACAAGTCCGTGGCGGAGGATTCGCCACTGGGCGGGGAGAAGATTGGCAAGAGGAAGAGGGGGACGACGGTGGAGGATGTTGCTGCTGCTTTGACAGAGGGGTTTGAGAGGAAGAAGAAGAAGACGGAGTGAATCTGACGGTGCTGCTAGAATCACGACTTTGGTGGAATGGTAGGCGTTGGGGAAAAAAAATGAGTCAAAAGTAGATATCAAGACTTAAACGGTGTCTCTCAGTTACATTTCAATGCCGCACTAGTTTTTGTAGTTTTTAAAACATTGCTCTCGACGCCGTTCCGTACCATGAACCATATGCTGCCTGCCCAAACCTCCTAGCGCCTCTTATCTCCAGTACTATTACACCATGTTCCATTATGCGCCGGTCAGGATACTCTTACACGATTAATATCATCGCACATTCATCGCACATTCATCCCACAAAACTCCTTGCCGTTGTTCCAGTACAGATATTACAACACTGATAGCGTCAGGTCCCCCGAAAGCTTCGCCTTGATGTGGACCTCAACATCCAGATTGAGCCTGAGGTCGACTATGAAGCCTCGCTCGCCTTCGTGTAAGATTTCTCGCGGGTTCTTCTCGCGCTGCGGTCGAGGTGTAGAGAAGTTGGGACCGCCAGGAGGGAGCTCGCCCCCGTCCTCGAGCATCTCGGTTATCGGAGCTCTCAATGAGAGATTCATATCCGACGGTGGCCGACGGCACGCCGGAGGCCGCCGGATCGGCGGGAACGCTGAAGAAGAAGAAGAAGACGAGCTACTCGTGGTGTCGGTGTCAGATGCCAGCGCAGACGCGCTGTTCTCGCCGAGGCGCGGTACTCTCCTAGGCGCGGCCCGTCGGTTCGAATGGCCTGGGCGGAGTGGTACCGGGTCGACGAGTTGCTCATCTTCCGAAGGCATCGCTGTCGATGGTGCTGGCGCAGGCCGAGGGGCAGCTGGGCGTCTCCTCGCAGGCCTTGATGCAGGCTGTCCCGAGCCTGTGTGACTGAGCCTTGGGTTGGGAGCACCCTCCTCAGTTTCGTCAGTCTCCCTGTCACGATCAGAACCGTCTGACGTAGGTCTCCTATTTGATTCTGACCCCTGTGGCCGCGACGGTCTCCTTCGTTGCTTGGGTGGTTGAGACTTGGGCCGAGGGCGTGATTGTTGTTGAGGGTTGTGCGGTGTAAGTCTGGAGTTGTTGTGTGAAGATGGCGATGGGCCCTCCGTGTACTGGGCTGAATCCATCCCGTGTAAGTGATGAAAAATCTGCCCAGTAGACCCGGTTGATAGATGACGACGGAGTATAAGCTGGTTAAGAGTTGGTAGAAATGACCCAGGATGCGCTGAACAGTACGATGGTGTGTTGCGTATGTTCCGCTGATCTCAAAAGTTAAGATGTTAGAGCTTCGAGGGTTGAAACAAACCCTCGTGTCGCGGTCTGCAGGTGGTATGTCTCTTTATGTGTTGATCGTCGTTCCCACGATTCAGTCATACAGCGGAGGGCGCACAACTGGCCTTCGGGCTCGGGAGAGGTGATATAAGTCTGAAATACCACTAATAGCCGTCATATTGTTGCGTTTGCGGCTTGCCCTATCGTCGGTCCGTTTAGGGTCGCCTGGTCGATGGTAGTAATCGGTGTCCCCGTTGGAATAAAGTGTGGTCGTGGCCGTGTTCACGGTTCACCGTCGACTCTCCATTCCGGTTGCAACGATTTCCAAGGTTTGAGGTGACGGTGGGAAGAGGGAGGCAAGGTAGACGCCGGGAGAGACCTGGAGTAGTTGTGGTGGGAAACTTGGGGGAGAGATGGGAGGATGAGAGGCGCAGACTGGGGGCCGGGGAGTAGGAGTGGGCAGTCGGGTGCCAGAGCTTCCTGCGACGTGCAAACGCGGGCGCGGGCGAGGTGCATGTACCCTGACGTTGCAGGTCGGGACGTGCACTTTGGCGGGGGACCTGGGGCGACACTGGCGATTTTTCTTGGTTTTTGGAGGACCGTTGCCAAGTTGCATGTCGCACTCTCACATGCATGGAGGGTCCCCAGCGATCGCAAACTTGATTTTTTAGGGGGGCGGCGCCGCGGCGGCTCACTCGTGGACCTCCCCAGATAGGCATGTCCCTTGTTTTGACGACTTCGGTTTACGGGCACTGCATTGTAGTGTACAGACAGCCCAGTCTCACCTACACCGAGACATGCCCTTTCGCCGCATGCCGGTAGGTGAGCCCAGCACGCCTACCTTACACTAGGTGGACAACCTGGCCCTGGCACGCGGCACGCGGCACGCCTAGGAACATACAGCCGCATCGACAACTCGTCATTGTTCAGTTACTCCCAGGGGGGCTCAAAGCGGCGAAAACGGGGATCTGCAAACCTACCGAGTAACATCGGCAGGAATATTTCAGGAATTCCTCGGTGGACCACTGGACGGGCAAGTGGGCACAGAAGCCACGGAGGCAATGCCGAAGAAAAGGGTCCAAGATTCCAAAATCCTTGATTGGTACCCTGATTCTCTCCAGTCCCTGATTTTCGACCATGCGCGGACTGCAATCCGGATTCTGTCCAAGTTCTCCAACAAGTTAATGGTGTTATTGTTGACTTTTATAGTTAAGGGTCCACGATGCTATTGGTGTAGGCGCAAAATGGGGGTCTTTTGAAAACTGGCTATCCACGTGTCTCATCCAGGCTTCCCCTCTCGCGCAACTTGGTCTGGTAACTGGTCCGAGACATTCCGTGCAGCATAAATCAAGGCCAGACTGAGCTGGATCAGGGTTTACTCGATCATGTCGATATCGTCGTTCGTGGCGGGTACCGCGGCAGCGGCAGCGCCACCGTTCGGCTGAGGCGCAGTCTCTCCGGAGTTTCCTCCACCAAAGTAGTCCGCCATCTCGGCATCCAGTTCCTCCTGGGTCTTCCGAGTACGGCCGTCTCTACCCGAGCGACCACCTCTTCCGCCTTCTTGATCTCTGCCGCCATCTCTTCCACCGTCTCTGCCACCATCTCTACCACCCTCCCTGCGAGCTCCGGGTCTGCGGCCGCCGCCACCGCCACCGTTCCCGTGTCGCCGGGACATAGGGCTTCGCGAACGGTTTCCACGGTTTCCTGGGATGTATCTGTCAATGCCTCTCTCGGCAGCCTCGTCGACGTCATATTTCCGTCCAGGAGACATGGATCTCGACCGACCGCCGGGAGCAGAGATTCGCTCGGAAAGTGGACGGCCCGGCATCACCGCCGAGTCGAAGGGGTTGCGAGATCGACCGCCAGCTCCGCCACCCATGATTGACAGCTTGATCGGTTGGCCTGAGAAGTTAGTCTTTAAGCTGCCACTAACGTAGGGAGTAAGAGAGGCGCATACCGTTTGCATTGGCGCCGTCGAACTGCTTGATCGCATCCAAGGCATCCTCGCGGGACTCCATCGTCACGAAGGCAATGCCTTCCGAGCGACCAGCGCGATCATACTTGAGGTCCAACTTTGCGACAGGGCCGATTCTGTTAAACAATTCCTGCACAAACTTTAGCCAAGGCCACGTTGTTCGACACCTCCAGGGGGCCGTACTTCCAAGTCCTCAGGAGTCAGCTCGTAGTGGATGTTCTCGACGCGGATTTTGGAGCTGCTGGAATCTCTGTGGCATCAAGTCAGCGTATGTTTGTACCAAGTATTGCACTGGGCCTACCTTTGTTCAGGCTCATCGCGTCTCCGTCGAGGGGCCGGTGCACGGCGGTTGTCTGCTCCGTTTTAGCTCATGCTGTGGGTATGGTATGGAACCTTCGGTCGTACCGTGCTCTTCGAATCGATCGTGAACCCATTCACTATTCACAGAGGTTAGTCACATGTTCGAGTGGGGATACGGGCCTGGTTAGACTCACCTATCGAGGTTTCTAGACTCGTCGCGGAAGGACTGTATCGCAGGACGGCGACACCTGTTAGCTAGGCCCTTGCAATCGACAGGTACCGCTCCCGGCCTTCGACGAGACGGTCGGCATGGAACCGAAAGCTGCGCGATAGTCGTGGTCGACCGGGATGAGGAGGGAGGAGGGTCATTCAACCTGGACAATCAGCCTGGAGATCTACCAGGTGACGGGTTGTGTTGTAGTGTAGTACCGTACCTTTCTAACGCCGTCGCGAGGGTATTCCTGGCGTTCGCGTTCGCGTCTTCGGGGGGCGCCTCTACCGTTTCCACGGTTGTTGCGAGGACCGTCGCTCTTCTGCAATTGCGCAAGTTAGCTCCGAGATCGCATATCTTACAAGGCTGCGGGTTCCCTTACCTTCTCGCCGAGGATCTCGTCGAGGCTGCGGTCCAGCTTGTCCGCCATATTGATTTGTTGGGTGAAAGTATGTTCAGAAAAGAATTGATGCGGCTCAAGATGTCGAATTGGGCGGTCAAAGCCTCGGCGCTGTATTGTAGGAGGTAAGCTTTGTTGCAGGGTGTCAAGGGACAACAATGCTGATCGCGACTCAAGTGCCAGAGTAGGCACAACTGGTAAAGGCAAAGCACGGCTGACTGCGGATCGACTGGAGCATCCGACCGCCAAAAGTGTGGCGCTCGCTACGGGAGGGACAAAAGTGGATATGTGGCTGTTGACCCACGACTCAGGTGGAACTTTGCTCGATTGAGTTAGCCTCAATTGGCTTCGAGATGCAGAACAGGAAATCTGAGAATAGCTCCCCATGTTTGACGCCCGGTGGGCTCCCCACTATGTACACTACAGGTCTCAGGGGTCCGAGGATTTTATCTGACCCAGACTCCCAGTGGCTCCCATCCCCCGTTCCATTCTCCACCCTTCGCTCAGTCAGTGGACACAGCGCTGATGGTTGTAAACTTTACAGGTGCTGTCTCGCTTGTCTCGCCTGTATCACCCGTGCCGTCAGCGCCCTGCATCCCCTGATGTGAGGCAGGAGGATCTCTCGGCCCGGAGTTAGTCCTCGAGGGAGATGAAGCTAAGCCCCTTTTGTCGTATGAAGTGTAACTTTACTGTAGAGCTGTCCTCCCAATGCGCCTCCCTTGAGTTGACCAGCCCGTCAGAAGTAGGAATCTCGTATCTGGCCAATTTTCTTCCACTCCCTCGGCGAGAGACACACGAGAAGGGAGCGCTCAGTGTCATCTTTTTAAATTCATTGCATTGCCATCCCAATTTCCTTCGACAAAGGAAAGAAAACCGACTGTTCTCCTCGGGACTATATTTCCCAAAACCCGCGATAACTAAAGCTCGCTTGCAGCTTCGCGAAAGCCAAGCCAAGCCGACATCCATCGAACGACCACCTCTGATCCCTCGACAACCTTTATGATTCTCGCATAGTCTCCCTACTCGCCAGATTGCCCTCCATGGCTCGTCCCATGGGGTCAGTTCGCTTGAAGAAGGCGAACCCGGTGACCCTCGTCCTCGGCGCCGTCCTCTGCATCTTTATCGTCGTCTTCCTCGTCGGGCCCTCCAAGACAACAAAAGCAGAGCCGGCCGGTACCGCTTCCCACCATCTATCGCCGCCCACGGCCCCCTACCGAAAGAAGGCCAAGGGTGACACAAGACCGCCGCCCGTCGTCCGCTACAACCTCAACAATGTCACCATCACGACCGACCCCATCGGCAACCGCGAATCCGTCCTCATCCTGACGCCAATGGCGCGCTTCTACCAGAAATACTGGGATAACCTCTTGAACCTCAATTACCCCCACGATCTCATCTCCCTCGGCTTCATCCTGCCCAAGACCAAGGAAGGAAACGCCGCGACGGCAGAGCTGCAGGAGCAGATCACAAAGACCCAGGGCTCCGAGAAGAACCGCTTCAAGAGCATCGTCATCATGCGCCAGGACTTTGAGCCGGCCATCGCATCCCAGGACGAGGGCGAGCGACACAAGATGGAGAACCAAAAGGGCAGGCGTGCCGTCATGTCCAAAGCCCGCAACTCGCTCCTGTTCACGACTCTGGGACCCCAGACGTCGTGGGTGCTGTGGCTCGACGCCGACATTGTCGAGACGCCGCCGTCACTGATCCAGGATCTGGCGGCGCACGACAAGCCCGTCATTGTGCCCAATTGCTTCCAGCGCTACATGAACACGGAAACCAAGAAGATGGAGGAGCGGCCCTACGACTTCAACAGCTGGCAGGACAGTGAGATTGCGCAAAAGATGGCCGAGACGATGGGTCCCGACGATATCTTGCTCGAGGGATACAAAGATATGCCGACGTACCGCGCGTTGATGGCGTACCTGGGTACTGACGAGAAGGACAAGTCGGTGGAGATCCCCCTGGACGGCGTTGGCGGCACTGCTTTGCTCGTCAAGGCAGACGTCCACCGCGACGGAGCCATGTTCCCGCCCTTCTCCTTCTATCACCTCATTGAGACCGAAGGCTTCGCCAAGATGGCGAAGCGCTTAGGCTGGCAACCGTTCGGACTCCCTAACTACAGAGTAAGCAAACCCCTGAAGAACCTCATTGCCATTGATCGATCCACCGCTCACAATAGTTCAGGTTTATCATTACAATGAGTAAGGGCTAGGCATCACGATGGACGTGAGCTGGGAAAACAAAAAGACAAAAAAAGAAGAGTACATCACGCCTTTCACTCCGAGGTGTTCAATGGAAAACAGGAAAAAACACCACCCACCCAAACTCGCTCCCAGTCGCCAACAGCATCGGCGGCGGTATTACGAATTTTACGCGCGGAACACACCTCATTGGAAAGAACCCCCATATGCCCCCTTTACCCCCTATGTGCAGATACCCCTCCCTGCTTTCGTATCTTGCCAACAAATAATTGCGTTCCAAATTTTCGGGCGGAAAACTGGTGATGGAGGTTGGGGTAACGGGCGTTCTTTGTAGTACATCTCACACAGCAAACTAATACACAGATTGGGAGTCTGGAACATTGGGGGGGTTGGCTGGTAAAGGGGTTGGGAGAAGGGTCAGCAGATGGAGCTGCGAGAAAGCTTCACTGTTGACAAGTGGCTTCTAAGGGGTGTAAGATAAAAACCAACGAAGCGCCGCGGGAACTCGATGGGTGGTGATGGATCGCGGGTTGAGCAAGATATCTGCAGCATTAGAGAGAGAGCACCTATTTCATGTTTTCAAGGGCTCTAGTGTGATAGAACAAATGACAATTTATCCCAAATAAATAAGTTCTTTGCTATTGCAGTTATACAATCTTTCGTGAGTGATGACAATATCCCTCAAAGTTCTCCCTACCAGAAGAGCACTCCATACCATCCTATCCTGTCCCGTCCCATTCCATGTACATTTATATATATATATATGATGCTGTCGAGTATTTTGTCCAAAAACAGAAGCCGCTGCCGAAACCCTACCCAAATTCTCTCCCCTTGACAGACTGGACTACTTAAGTCCACCAGCCAGGCAGGTCAAATTGTCTCCCAAATCACCCTACCTCCGCATAACGATGACAGCGTAGCCATCACATGGCAAAACAGCCCCATATCCAAAACCTCACTCCCTACAGATCCTCTGAAAACCCCATCTTCACGGCCCCTCATACCTTCCCTCGTCATCACGGCACCAAAACTCAACAAGCGCGCGCGTGCCCAACACGTCCCCGCCGCGCAGCAACGCCGCGACGTCGACGTTGAGCGGCGAGTCCGTCTCCGGGTACGCCAGCAGCGTGCGCACGGCGCGCACGCTCTCGAGTACGCTGTAGGCCGGCGTCCAGGCGTCCTTGAGCAGGTCGAGGCAGATCTCGCCCGTCTGGAGGGCAATGTTGGCGTGCACCACGGGGGTGGCGAAGCGTATCGTCGGCGGGCGGAGGGGGTAGTCTTGCGGGATTTGGATGTGGAGGAGCCAGCGGCCTTCTGTTTTTTGGGGGGAAGGTTCACAGAGGTTAGCTTTCAGTCTCAAGATAGGGGGCGTTGTTGAGGAGAATGGCGAATGTGCAGAGAAGAAAAACATACCATCATATCCGTTCCCGATTCCCCGCCCATTAACAACAGCCTCCCACGTCAACAGATCCTCGTCGTCGACGGGACCCAATCTCTCGATGCCCCTCTCCTCCTTCTTCTCCGACCGCCACACGTCAAGCTCCTTGATGAGCCTCTTGATCGCGCCCCGCCCGTCCGACGTGGACTTTGACTTTGACTTTTTCCCGCTTCCTCGTTCTCCTCCTGGCGCGGCGCCCGAGGGATTCGTCTGGGAATCGGGCAAGTTCTGAATGCGCCACGACATCTTGGACAAGTAGAATGTGGCTTCTTTCTCTCTCTCTTCTCTGTATTCTTCTGCTTGGCGATTCCGTTTGCTCGCGCAATGGATGGATCGACCCGTGGTTCGACTGATGGCCCCTTGGAACCAGTGACAAGTCGCAAGGAGGGGGGGGGGCGAAGATGCTGTAGGTGTCTGGGCAGTTGCTTGCAAGTCAATTGGTATGAAATCGTGTATTCGATTGGTATGTATACGACGATTGTTGAGTGGAAAGAAGGATCTCGAGTGAAGCCGGCTACACGGATAGCTGTTGGTAAACTTTTGGGATGGAGAGCTTTGGGAAGAGCCCCCAAGCCGATGGGCTGGGTTCACCTTAGCTAGTAACCGAGCCACGCTCTCCAGCTTCCCCAGGGTGCCAATGAGACGTACCTTGTGACGCGACAGGATGGGTGGGTCCTGCGGGTTCAGCCGAGGTTTCCCAGGCTGGTTCTCGTCTCCAGTCCGGTATCTGGCCAACATCATCCACATCGTCCGTACTGCCGATTCCGTCCCATCTTGATCCTTCTCGTGCCATTTCGGCTAGTGTCACCAAAGTATTCATAATGCCGAAGCTTAAGTTCATTGTCATTGATAAGTATTCAAGAGGAAATAACCAGACTGGCTCTCAGGAATATGTTCATTAATATTTGTCTACGTCGCGATTTGTGCCATCTTCCATCGTCTAGAGGGCTGAAACAGCCGGCCGGCCAAAGAACTATGAGAGACACTGCAAATGTGTCTCGACTTGTCTGCCTCGCCAAGTTTTCGCCTTCCTAAATTCGCATTTCATCCCCGATATGTCCAGAGAACGGAAACAAAACCATTGAACCACATGTTTCCGCCCCCCACAGTTGTCACCAAGACATATGGCCGCGAACCTGCTATGCTCATGCAACTTGCTGCTCATGCTATCATCACAAAGAACGCCGAATCCGAGTCCCAAAAAGCCGAGTCGTTGAGTATTCCATCCTTGCGCGTGTTGCGTGAGGCACTGGTGACGACCCGGCGATGCTTTCCTTTCGCTGGCCAGGTTGCGTCGGCACTGTCGGTTTGTGCGGACGCGAATCCCGTTCCAGCGAAGAAAGACATTGTTCCGCCAGAAGTATCTGATCGGAGAGAAGGTGTAAAGAGTTGTACAATAATTCCATATACATGCGTCATGAAGGCACATTTGTTGTATGCGGTGAAAGCCGACTGGATCGTGACCAGTCGCCCTAGTTCGTTGGTGTGTGACGCCCGTAGTTGTCTAGGATGAAGTCTCCTCCTTGCTTGGCTTCCAGAATCGCATCATCCGGCTAAGTCGTTTCGATTTGCTAGACTTGTGCTTCTTGTCACCCTCGCCATCGTATGAGACCTCCATTGAGAGCTTGCTGCGTTCTCCATGAGAACTGCTGATGAGTCTGCTCAAACTGGCAAGGCTGGATCGTCGACGCCCGAAGGCTGCCGAAGATACTGAGACAGGCCGCTGTTGGTCGGGTCGTATGGGCTCCTGCCTCAGTTGAGAGCTGGTGGCGAAAGAGCTATCCCTTGTCATGGTCGAGTGGCTGGAGGTCAATGAGGGTATATCTGCAGAGAGCCTAACTTCTGGGCCAGGCTCCCCGAGAAGCAGAGATTGAAAGTTGTTCTCCTCGTTGACTGAAGATGGTGCCGTAGAAATTCGCTGAGCGTCATAAGACATGGGCGAACGGGGTGATGGGAAGGAGGAGGCGTGGCTCATCGAATAAGGACTGACAGGAACGTGCGAAGGAGTCGGGAGGTGTAGGGGACTGACGTCGACAGGGGCCAAGTCCTTGCTCGCGAGGATTCTGCGGGGAGATGGGGTTGCGGAACCAGTAGACTCTGCCTTTTCGTTGAAGATTGAACCGGTGCGGAACTCGGGGATCTGGGCAACGGGCTCTTCGACAATGACGTCCTCTTGCAGGGGAATAGGCGCCACCTCTGCGCTCATGTTGGCATCTACCAACATTGCGTCTGTGCCAGTGGCCAGATCACGGCTGATACTGCCATCAGGAACGCTGATAGGAGTGTCGTCGAGAATGGGCTGCTGGACTTTGTTGGTGGCGGGCGGTGTCGCCTCGTCGCCAGAGGATTCCGCGCTGTCGTTGAACTCGCCTCTATTCGCACGGCTGCTGGTGTACAATGATGCGCACTTGCCAGGATGTTCGTCATCTTCTTCATCCTCCTCGAATACGTCGGCCATTGTCGAGCTGCTGCCAAAACGATGGATGCCAAAACGGCCCACATCGAATGGTACCATCTCAGGGGCGCTTTCAGCGCGGCGGTGGTAGTGCATCCCTGGTCCGCTGAAGCCCTTCATACCCTGTGCGCTGTGTAGCTGGCGCTTGGTAGAGGCTGCGGCTTTCTGAGCGGCGTCCCATTCTGGGTTATTCGCCAGAGGCGTGTTAAAAGGTCCCAGTGCGGCATCCAAATCAATCATGGGGAATGAGGTGTCATCTTGGGCCGAGGCAGGACGCGGCTTCCACTCTTGCAGGCTCTGTGGCTGGCTAGAGGTGTCCGTCACCATAAGTGTAGGTGTGACCGGCTCGACGTGCACTTCGGGCTCCACCGTGAGTGTGAGGGGCTCATCCTTTTGCTCGATTGTCTCGAACTGACGAGCAGAATCGCCCGTAAGATCCAAGTCTTTGCACTTCTTGTTCCGCGGTTTGCTCTTGCGTGCTAGAATTGATCCTGCCCAATTCTTGACCTTCTTCTTTTTCTTGGACTTCTTGCCTTCTGCCCTCTGGCCGGCGTGGTCGGAGAATTCTGATGTGCCAAACGATTCCGAAATATGCTCCGAGGTAGACGAGGAAGATGAGCTAGTTGGCTTGGATCCAGACTCTGAAGAACTGGAGCTCACTGGTCTCGTGCGGAGTGGTGACGCAGTTGCGTTAAAGGGGTCCAATCCGAAGAATGACCACCTCTTGGGCGTCTTAGTTGGACTAGGCATCGGGGGGCCGACAGAGCCTGCTTCAGGCACGTTGATTAGGGTGGGAATGGAGTTTCTCCTCCTTGGCGATGCACCGACTGATTGAATGCTCTGGGATCGTTCCAAAACCGCTCCGGCAGTGCTTGGTCTGGATTCATTGTTTTGGCGAGAAGGGGTAAGCACTAGGGGAATGATAGGCTCAGTCTCCACATGGGTGGTTGTCGTCGGGATAGAAATGATGGACGAGATGCTCCCGGATACTGAGTGTCCTCCTGGCCGGGCTGTGACTGTGCTGGAGGTATCACTGGACACCATTGATAGCGGACGCGGGATGAACTCAAGGGTGTCAGAGAAGCCAACACGAGCGCGCGTGACTGGCCGAGCTGCGGGAGAAGCCCTGCCACTTGATGAACCCGAATCCGCAGTGACTGGCCTGGTAAGTTCTCTTGGGACTCTAAGGGCTGGTTCGGATTCAACGCCCTTCAGAGTCTTCTCGACGAGACCTGCATTGTGATGGTCTAAACGTCGATCAAATTCAGCCGGGCTTGTAGGTGCACTGTTGCCCCTGAGGTTACCGGGTGCCGAAGGCTGGACGATGAGTGATAAGTCGTGGCTTGAGAGCGCAGCCGAGCGTCTGTGTTTGTGGCCGCGACCGCCAGGGGGCTTCGGGGGAAGCTGAAAGTTTGGAGACGCAAAGCCACTCTCGGATCTCGTTGGGCTTGTGCCGGTTACGGTGATGGAATCTCCAGAACGAATGCTTCCTCCCACGAACTCGCTCCCTCCTCTCCTGTGTCCGACTCCGGTTGGTCTTGCAGGTGATGCCGCTAGTCTCGGGGACACAGGCGGAGGGGATAAAGGCGGGCTAAGCAGAAGGGATGTCTCCGGGGACAATGAAGCGCCGGGATTGAATGTAAAGTTGGGAAGCGCTGGTGATCTTGAAGGTCGATCTGCTGCGTCAGAATTTAAGTTAAAGGTCGATCGGTCTTGAATTTCGATGGCAGACAGCGGGCGACGCCCAGTCGCTCTCGAGAAAGATGAGGGTGCAGAGGCCGAGGAGGGCCTTGCCGGAAAAACGAATGGTGGATTTGGTAGTGGAGGCATCGTTCGTGGAGAGTGTGGTCCGGAGAATGATGATGTTGAGGAAGTAGAATTATCCAGCATTACCGGAAGAGAAATCGCTTGCATCGAGGGCTCGTCCAAAACCCGTGTACTTGTGGATATCATCATACTCTCAGGTCCAACAGCGGCTGCCATGCTTTACTGAGCCGCTCTGCGGCTACAGGTTTGATCAGCAACTAAAAGAAGGACATAAAGAGGGCGCAAATGCGAGGTGGTCGTCGTTGATTGAGAATGGAGAATCGGTTGGGTGCTCGATGGAGGACGACGCGTCAGGGGCGTTTTGCGAGATGATGACGGGTTTGGTGATTAATTCTGCAAGGTGGCAGGTTTAGTGAGTTGGTTCTTCTTTTCGTTTTTGATATCGCGAGAAGGAATTGGAAGAGTCGATGGGCGAATAAACACCTTTCGGAAGAAGTCGAATGCGGCGCGCTGACGATGGGAATTGGGCGAAATTGGCGTTCACGATTGCGTGCGTGACAGAACCGGTCGACCAGGTAAGACAAATGCTATTTATCGAAGATGAAAATTGAAGGTGTTGTTAAGGAGCGGACGGCACAAGACCAGAAGCAAATCTGCAAGATCTACAACTAGAATTGAACCACGAAACAGAAGTCAAGAAACGACGACGGCCTCGAAGGGTTTTGGGGGAAGAGAGTTGATAGGAAGAAGAGGGGGGTTGCGACGCGGAAGACTGAAGAGAGGATGGGATGGATGGGTGGATTTGGGATTAGAATTGGGGACAGACACATACACACACACACACAACAGCGAAGAAGCGACGAGTCGGGTCCAGCGGTCGGGGTGTGTTGGCGATGGGAGAAAAGGGGGGGGTGAGAAGACAGGGATGGGGGAGGGTGTGTGGGAGGGAAAACCTCAGTTGGGTTTGGACTGGTTCGGGGAGAGGGGGGGGGCAGTCTGCAGAGGAGGAAGGAAGCCCTAGGGGAAAAAGAGGGAGAAGGAGCAGCAGGGACGGCTACGACCAGGGGGTGTGCGATTGTGATTCAACCTGGAAGTCACAGTCAGGGCCCGGACAGCAAGGCAGGGACGACCAGGGGCTGTTCAGGTTGATGGGGCAGCAGCCGTAGCGCACTCGCATTCATCCCGCAGAAGCCAGCCAGTACGGATACTTGTCTCCGTACCTGATTTACCATGCAAAGCAAGGTACCTTTCCTATGTACGGGACAGGGCAAACAGACGGGACACAGCAAAGAGGCACCTCGCGTCGCAGGATTTGACAGAGCACACCTCAGCTTGAACCCAGGAGACATGGACCAGTCATGCAGAGAGTTGGAAAGGACTCAAGGTAAACAGTACATATTATGTGTAGCAAAGGTAAGTATTATCTATTGTTCATGAAGGACGTCGATCCAGAGAGCCGTGTCAAACCAAAGTTGTGTATGTGAGGCGGTTAGAGCTGAACAAAGTTATTGGCTACTCTTTATTCACTGTTTGGGACAGTTGTTGAAACTCGTATGCGCCCACATTCGGGTTCCTAGTTGAGGCACAACACGCCGTATACCTTTCCACACTGAGCAATACCATGCTCTTCAGTTCCATATGTATCCGCAGTTCGTCAGGAGTAACTACTGGATTCCCATCCCATCAACTAAGCCCCTGATTCCCAACTCACCTCAACAATTCGAGATGGCATTGACAGCCTCCGTACTCCTTGCCGGTCTTGGTTGTGTCTGTAACCAACCCAACGTGCAGCAGTGTCGCTGTACTGCCCTGCATTCTGCATGAGGTACTGCATTCACGCACACTCGTTGCAGCAACTAGACGGGCCCTGACAGATTGGTGTTTTGCCCTGCAGCCATGTCTGCACTGAGTTGGGTGCGCCGAACAGCCTGCCTCTGCTAGCAAACCGTCCACTCAAAGCCGCCCAGTTCCTGAGCAACCTGACCGAGTGGCCCAGGTCCAGGTCATCGAGGAGGGCACGGATTGGATTCCCTAGAGTACCGTGAAGTATGGTGAGTAGGCGTGATAGCCCTACCTAGGTAATACGGTAGCACCTAGTCATCGTCGCTGAGGTGAGGTGAAGGCGAGATGCTGGCTGCCACACCTTCTCCTCCCCTCCTCCATGCTAGCGAGCTCTAACACCTGTACCAGTTCGCACTAAGACTCGGCCGTCGTTAGGCGGCCACAGCCCAGGCCCATCTTCTTCTCCTTGATGACCTTAGCGGCGGGCCAGTAGGTCGTTGGCTTGTTTGGCTGGGTTGGCTTGACGAGGTTGCCAGGCAGAAGTTGGCACGAGAGGACTAGACAGAGAGTACTAGAGTCTAGAGGACCCGCGAAGCTGCACCTCAGCCGTCAATGGCAACGCAACGTCTTCACCGCTTCCTGTGGCCTCAAACATACGTTCGCTACTGCTTTCCTTTGTCTCTCATGCGCGTACTTCGTACTTTGTACCCCTTCTTCTAGGTAAGGTAAGCTAAGCTCATGGTTTGGGCAAAGGGAATCTGACTTTTATCGAAATGTTTTTACGATAGTTCTGAGACTGGAACAGTGGATCTGGGCTGGCAATGAGTCGGCTTGCTGCAAGTCAAAGAGAACCTAGAAACAGAAGTGGACTAAAGGCAGGGAATAGAGGCGCTGAGAGTTCAGTGCACGCTGTGTCGTGCATTGTGTAAGGGATGGAGACCACGGTACCCTTGGGCTATCGTGTATGTACTTGATCGCGGTGCAATAGGTAGTGAATTTTCTGTTGGCCACCTCCACTGAGACTGAGTCTGATTTCCCGGTACGGAGTATTCGTACCTTTTTTCATCTTACCTAAGCCCACATCAGCAACAACCTAACAGGCAGGTAAGACGTTGCGGGGAGGTCACGATACGTATCTTTCCACACAGAGGTGGAAGGAACTCTCCAGGACCGCTTCCCCGGCGCATCCCGCAAGTGGCCGACGAAATGCACGGTCAGAGACTCAGAACAAGAATCTTCCCTTTTGCAAAGGGAAAAGGCACCAGATGTTGACTTTCTTCGACGGATAACTTACCAGCAAGGACTGAACCCGAAAATCCAGTACTCGGCGACAGCGTTCGGCCGTCAACTACGTTAGTATGCCTTAGCAGCAGCGCACATCATCAGCTCAACCACAACCACGGCACCTCCGGCTTTGGGGGATGACAAGACAAGGTGCCGATGGGAGCAAATCCAGATCGGTGCTATGATGGACGACCGGACGACCAGCACATGGCAAAATGCAAACCAGACGAATCATCGCAACGCCGTGCCCGACTAACAGCACCAGAGTAGCGATGGCAGACAACCGTCTCTGCAGGTACAGCAACGGCCTTGGCTCCATTTGACCACGCCCCCTCCATCTTCTAGCTGCCATCCGCCCCTTGCGGCAATTCTGCGAGAAAGCCACCACAGGACACAGCTAAAGCCTCGAGAGAAGAGACGGGACGAAGAAGGCGCCGAAAAGTTAGGCCAAGTCACATCATATTTTGCTCAACACCTACCACTTTCCAAGGTACATACATACACCCAGCTATCGCCCAAGCACCACCTCATCGGGGATTACACTTTCGCTTCGTCTTCTAACCTAGATTCAGTCCCGTATACTGAACACCTTCTTTGCTTCTTTTCCCCGACCCGAGCGACCCGGCCTGGTTTCAACCCCAATCAAAGACACCGGCGGCCGTACCTTTGAATATTGCGCGGGGGGGCATCAATTCGATTCGAATCGATAGCCACGCCGCATCTCGAAAATGGGCCGACGCTCCACGTCCAGAGCCAACGCCAGAGCCAAAGCGGTCAAGCGATGTGTGTGGGCTCACTGCAGCGTCCGAAAATGGCTTTCTTCGGTGGTAACATGGGCGCTGAGGCGGCACTGGAGCCGAATTTCTCCTCCATGTCCAGGTTCAACGGCGGCCTCTGACTGGCTTACGGTCCTGAGAACGAGAGATGGCCAGGGGTGTAAAACATATGTGCCAAGGTCCCTTCGTCACTCTTTATTGCTGGGCCTCAGAACGCCCGCGCACCCCCAGGCCCAGAGGAGACGATGGCTCCCCCTCCAAGCCTCAAAGACCCCTCCCATCTCCATTTTATTTCAATCGGCCAGATGACCGATAGCACCTGGGAGATCTGCTTGCTTTTTTCCTTAGTCTGGAAAGGGAAATCTCTGGATCCACTGGGACCACAGCTACGAGTGCCTACCGAACTGTGAACGAAGTACGAATTCACTCGAATTACAGAGGCGTTCCGAGGGGGGACAAATGCCGTTGTCAACAATTGCCTGTTTGGCAATTCACTTTCTGCATATTGGGATGGTGTACGGACACACGACTCAACGTCGTCCGTCTTTCGAGCACCAATTGGCGCAAATCATCCGTCAAATCGTCGTTTCGGGACGGTAATGGCAACATGATGCTAGAGGAAACATTCTTTCTCCTATCATTGGCAACCATCACACGCGTTCCGGATGGGATGGGATGGGATGGGATCATTATCTTATTTCTCCCATGCTCCCGTATTTGACGCCCCCGTTTCCTCAACCCCCCTTGGCCGCCTAGTGGGGGAGCATGTCACACTCGGAGCTGATGGAGCATCAAAGGCAACACAACCACACAACCCCACACAGGGCTATGTCTTCTTCTGTCACTGGCAGGCATGGCAGGCCAGTTCGTATGCACGGTGCGCTCGTTTACGAGCACAACGGCAGCAATCGATTCCAGGGCTTTGTGTTCCGTACGGGTAGTGCGCGTCGAGCCATCATGGCACAGCTTCGGCGGCGCCTTTAACGTTTGAGGAAGCCACGAACTATGATAAACCGCCCGAGGGAGGGTTTTTTCGAGGCTTGCCACTGCTTACAACGGAACAAAGAGAGTATCACACGGCATAACTCTAAAGTCTGTTTTCATTCTCGTTGCCACGGTTGGGAGCCTCAACTTGACTCAGTCGCAACCCCGGGCGTCGGAGCCGGCCAGGAGCTTTCTTGATTGAACGACTGCGGCCGCCGACTTTCTTCTAAGCCTGGTATTAGCTCTGATCAACGTCCGCCAGCCCGTTGGAAGATTAACAGGTTCTTCGTGCGACGGCGCCGTCACGGTTCACCCCATGGCATCAAAGTATGACAAAGAGGCGAAGCTATCCCCAAACGATTAGCTCTGCTTAGTGACCTGGTCATCAACTCTTGACCCTTCGATTTTCTCCGAGTCGCCCATCGCGACGAGCATCAACAAACAGGTGACTCCTACCCGTTGCTGGCCTACCAGGGCCCGATGCTTTTCTCAAGCCGCCCTCATGCGGCTGCTGCTCACTCACCCTGAGAGTTGCAGATACACCTGCAGAAGCAACAGATGATAACCTTCGCGCCTCTTGCGTCGCTCCAACCAATCTGGCCTGTCAATCGCCATGTTGCATTCAAACCCACTACGCGAATTCAAGTTGCATAGTGCACAGACGGACCTGCATGACGCCACGTACCAATCGAGGACAGCAAGAGGCACTTCGGTTTGATAACGACGAGAGGGATTTTGACAATGGTTGTTCGGCATATTGGTCGACACTTAACACAACGCGGTGAGGAATAATGCATCAGTTGCATATCTGCTGCTGTGTATCTGTTGCCGCCATGTTGAAACCCTGGGTCGATGACATGCCGAGTCTGATGGTCGTATCCAACCCTGCCATGGGCAGAATCCTGCATGAGCAAATCAGGAACAGTTCCTCCTTTCAAACACTCATCTCCCAGCAGGGAACGAAAACCATCCTCGTGATGGTGCTTTGCCTCCTTGGCTGACAGCCATCTCCACCCGACTGGGATGTTCAGTCCCCATCAGTTCCCATTTCGTCCTCTTCCCTTGTCAAATGTTTCTTTCCCCCGAACTCCCACCAATTTTTGCAAGCGCGGCTCCGGCCCAAAACATCCTGACTTGCATCATTTCATATCCGATCCGATCTGCCAACTGTTCTAAGAATACTTTCACCCAACTTTCTCCTACGCTTCTGCCAGCCGGTGGCCCTCTGGCAAGACTGTCAGGTTGTCAACGCTTGCTGGCGGCAATTCTCAGCATGCCGGGTCCGGTCGAATTGCGGGTGACCCAAACTAATCTCGCCTGCAAGATTGACCAGCAGCCGCTTTCAGCATGACCCCACGCCTCGGTAATAAAATGAAGTGGTGGCCAAGTCATCACAAATTTTAGGTGCCGCCGCTGTTCAAATTTTAGGTGCCAGCTGTCTTTACCTAATTCCCCGTCAATATTCGCTCCGTTATCCCTGCGCCTACCAGTAAAGAAATCATCATCGAGGATCATTAGAGGCTCTAAACATCGGGAACCTGGGGTTCGATGTCTGGGATATCCAAGTTTGACAGGACAAGGCGCGCGTTCGATTGATTCGGACGGCAGGGATCCCGACTCCAGAATCTGATATTCTTGGCCGAGTTGGCAGCTGGGGAAAGGAGAAATGTCTTCTCAATGTCATTTCGGCAGCCTCGTGCGCCGCCACATCGTCGGACATGAGATTGTCTGCCTGGAGTGCGGTAAATCTCAATCGCAATTTGATTGGTTTGTTGTTGTTCCCTTGAAAAGAGCCAAATTTCAACGCCATTCATCTCTGCCGACACCACACGCCAGTCCTTCATGCCAGTTCCCGGCTGAAGTTGCGTTTTCCTAGAGGCACCAATCGATATGATGTCTCAAAGCCAGGCCCAGCCATGAGCCACAACCGTTGGACGGCGGCGTAAAGAGAATGACACAAATTTCTTGGAAACAAGCTCCGGACGTCATCTCAAACGGCGGAGACGTCGGGTTATTGATGACGGGACTCGATTGAAAGGCTCCTCGCAGGCACGACTCCATGAAGGAGCGAGTCAGCTTTAGGCAATAGATCCAAAGTATATCGCGGAAACGGTCGAGCATCATCATCTAAGTCATGAAGATCGTACTCCTTGTCAATTTTTCGGTATCCCAATGTTCCCAACCTCGAGGGTCGCATCAATGTTGCTTCTGTTACGAAGCAGCGCCATTATCATGCACATCTGGCTTCAGAGCGGAGAAAGGACCCTGAGAAGCATCTTGGCACCCTTTCCTCAGCCACATGCACAGTAGCTTATTTTCTGGGTACTCGCACCGCCACAAGGAGGAAACGCAGCCTAACTGGTTGGACGGCAGCCTTGCGCCCCACCCGCCGCATTCCCTCGCATTGCAAGAAATTTTCTGTTCAGCGCGAGGGACCTACAATGCCGCCCGCTGCACGTTGAAAACTCGACTACGCAAATTAACGTTCCTCAGCCTTGGAGTCTGCGATTCTTCAACACCAGTCATCATGTCTACTGCGGAGCCCCAAATTGCTACTGCCGCTGTCGACAAACCGCTTGGCATGCGGAAGAATGGTACTTCATCAGCTCCATTCTTGGGGCTCATCCGACAACTCGAAGCTAACTCTTTCTCCCTTTAGGCAAGCAATGGCACGAGACGAAGAAGGCCTTTAGGCCGACATCAGGCCTGACTTCCTACGAGAAGCGCGCCAAGGACCGCGTCGCAATGGCGGCGATGAAGGCCAAGGAGAAGGAGATGAAGGACGAGAAGGAGGCAGAGCGCAAGGTATGAGAATGCTCTACTGTGCCTTTTCCTTTCAAGGGCTGTTTAGCTGACAGCAGTTACAGCAAAAAGTCCAAGCTATCAAGGACAGAAGAGCCGCCAAGGAAGAGAAGGAGCGATACGAGAAGATGGCCGAGAAGATGCACAAGAAGCGTGTAGAGAGACTCAAGAGGAAGGAGAAGCGAAACAAGCTCATCAACTCATGAGCAAGCTTGGCCGCCCACGGGCAGACTTGCTGTTGGAACGGGCACTGCGATCGAATCTCGGCGCCGACAAAAGTCAGGAGTAGCGCCGGTTCCCCCGTGACAAATTCCGAAACAGACTTCGGGAGTGGAGGAAAAGAGTCGGGCCTGACGCGCCCGTATTTTGCACAGCTCAGTCGACAGAACGACTCGACACAACACGGGGCTCATGCGAGGCCAAACGTTATGTCGTCGAGAGACCCCCCCGCGGAGATACGAAGGCTACGGCAAAGAGCAAACCCACAGAGCGGGCAACAGGCGACAGGGAGGCGGACTCAGAGCCGGCGGGACGGGAGAGAGAGGAGGGGGGATGGAGCTGCTGATCCTATCTGCGATGATCTACGATGTGTACTACGACGAAAGCCCAATGAGGCTACTCATCCGAGCTTTTCTTTTTTTTCCACTCGGTGAAATCGGATCAAAGGGCCAGATGGCGGCGATAGGAAACCCAGCCAAAAGTGTGCCGCGATTCATAGTTACATAGAAACAATAAGCATATGACTTGACCCTCGTTTTTGGGAAGGGGGGTTCTGGACCAGCAGTTTGCAAGCCCACCAGGGAAAGTGCTGGTGGTTCTTGTTCAGACGACGTTTCATGACAACGGGGAAGGACCCCAAGAGGCGCATGTGAAAGTGCGTCATTGGCCCTGTAGAGAGGTGTGCAGAATGGCAGCACCAACAAACCAGCTTTCACTGGGATTCTGGGAATCTCCGTGCACACTCCACCTCCACCTTTTTTCCCGATCTTCCACACTGCGGCCTCCCCTTCTGCAAGGAAACAGCCACACACCAACACCCAGTGAATCTCTTTGCCCCCCCCAAAGCATTGACCGTTCCAGGCGTAGGCCAGAAAGTCTAACTACCTAGGCCGTCCCAACCAAAGAAATCGTCTGGCTCGGGGGGTTTTATCTGCGCCCTTTCAGCGGGCGGCAGCAAGCATACTCGCTGGGCGTGTGCGGCTTTGCTTTGAGCGCGGGCGGCGGAGCCGTGGCTGAAGCGCCTCTCTCTCTCTCCATCCAGTTTCTTGAAAGGGGGTGTAGTGGAAACAGGACAAAAAAGCACAGGGTGAAACCATGTCTGCCAACGGCGACAGTGCCCACGGCTTCGAGCTGCCGTCGGCATCGGCCTCGACGTTGATGACGGCAGCCGCTGTCGCCAACTTTTCCAAAAATCACGGCCAGCAACAGCAACAACAGCAACTATCGGTACATCAACGTCACGGCAGAAGCAACAGCAAGAGCAGGACCAACGATAAGAGAGCTTCGGTCCCGATCTTGGCGCCCGTCACTGCTACCGCTACCGCTGCTGCTTCGGCTGCCCCTCCCGCAACTGCTGCCACGACCGCCACGGCCACCGCCGCCGCCGCCGCTCTCCTCCCCGCGCGACGACCGCGGCACCAGATCACGCGCTCCATCACCGAGTTCTCGCCGCCGCTCAGGATGCATCGGCACCGGCACAGTCACCACCACCACCCGACGCAGCACGCGCTGCACCTGAACGCGCAGAGCCGGAAAGATAAGGATAGGCTCCTGCTTTTGGACGAGAGGGCGCCCGGCGGTGCTGCTGGTGTTGGTCTGGGTGGGCGGAGCTCGCTGGACATGACGAGGTCGGAGTATGTTACGCCC